AAGAGATTTCTGATTTTTCTGATGCGAGAAACGAAACGTTCGGCATGCGATGTGGCTACTGTGCGTGAGCACGCTCCATGTACAGTGAACACGAGTCCAACTATTGCTGACGCGGGTAGTAATTTGATTCGATTTTTCATGAATACAAGATGTATTTTTGACTTCGGAATTACGCATGGACGAATATTGCACTAGTCGTCATTTATTTATGGCATTGTTGTTTTGAGAGAAAGCAATATTTTAAGTATTAAGAGGTACTATGATTCCGGAATTGACGTGTATTATATCGATTCATTGATGTCCAATATAATATTATATATTCCCTTTTAAAACGATTCTTTTCATGATTTTGCTGCACTTTTAGCACTAGTAATTTTTTTACAGTATTTACATATATACATAGTACGTCTATGGGAGCCTATTGTTAGTTTGAAATTGACGTTGAATTGAGAATTTACTCGAGGCAAACACAAAAGACATTCCCTCATACAGACGCGATTTTCGAAGAGAATAAGTTTTCATCCGAGTTATTGCATCATAAATGATACTTTTTTAGATGATGTCTGCAAATGGCCATGTGCAGAGGGAAATAAATATTGAATTACTTGAAGCCTGACAATGCTTTAATTGTCAGACCTCTCCGTACCACGGAATCGTTGTGTTAGTGTTAGCACAGTTACATAAATGACTTTCAATAAGTATGGATCTATAATCCCAGCCAATTAACTAAATTATATAGGACTTTACTATATCTCTTCAATTTCCCTTCAGTTTCTCTCTTCAGTTTTAAAGGGTTGTTTTCTTGAGCAAATCTCCCGGGCGTCATTAACTCAGCCTTCACTTTTCGAAGGCCTTCGGCTAAGCATTGTTGTGGCTTGAGCTTGCTCGGATACACATGGTCACCCATGAAACATGTAATTATGTTTTCGTTCCTCTTAGAAGCGTCTAAATCCGAAATTTTCTTGGTGTCAACTAATCGCGTGCCGTCACATGGTTTTGAGCAAGGAGTTTAAATATCTAATTATACTCGATGAAATTATACCACCGAGCTTCGTGGTTACGTCATAGTTTAGTATACATGACATTTGACTATGTTATGAAGAGTTTCATGTTTCCTGTAGTTTTTTTGATGTACCAGATTGATTTTTTTTCGGATAAACTCGGGAAAAATTTTGCATCCACTAATTAATTCATGTTCTCTTTTCTTGTGAGCTCATCGGTTCGCCGGTCAAACATTCATTCAATTGAAGTAACATGCTATTGGCAAGCTGTTTTTTGTCAGTGATATAGCGATTGTTGTCTTATTGCAAAATCTGACTTAAACCTCTATTGTCTTGAAAAAACTTGAACTGCTATTGTCCAAGGTGCATTTAGAATTTAGTTCACCATCAAATTGAAAATTCAGATAATTAGTCTTCATGTCCATATTTGCAGCGTCAAAATTAATATATTTTATGTTAAATTGGTATGCTAAACATTCGGTAAACGTTAGCTGCTAGTTCTTGATGATGTCTCACCCATATTTATTTTACTGATTTCGGTTGCCGTCAGAAAACTTTTGACGATCGTCACATTTTCAAATTAGCCACGGTCCATTGCTGGGCTTTTGGTTGGCCCCTATTAAACGAAACTCGATATGTTCATCTAACTCGAAATTAAATCTAATGAAAAATTGCTTATCTAATCATTTTATCAGCAGTTGAGAATATATGGCATACATGTGTATGCCGAGCAGATTGATCGAAATGCTCAGGTTATCTTGAAGGACCGAAATTCGTTAATAATAATCAAAATTTGAGTAAAGATTTAAAACTTGACACCACTTCAACGTTCTTGGACAAGCTATTTCATTCTTAGATTTATAGGGTTTATAGATGAAGAAAGATGAATGAACTTTCGTGGATGAAGAGCAAATATTAGTCTGAGTAGCTCGCATGCATCGCAGCAAATCTAGTTGGCTTGTGATCCTGTACCTTCTCCGTGCAATGACTGCAGGCTGCACTCATGAGGTGACGGATCGCCTCGAAAACCTGCAGGTCATTATTGTGAAGGTTCCAGGTCACATTGTGCGTGTTTTGTACTCCAGGTTAATTATTACGCGAAGCTATTCAATATAATTAAGCTAATGTTGAAATTAAGCCAGTTTTGAATTCTAGCCATAATCAGGGGAGGTACGTATCGAATTCTTTAAAAGCTATCAAGATTGAACAATTCGATACCTCCAGTCAAGCATCTTTCCTTCCAAGATAAGTAAATTTATATTGTATATTGTCATACAAATTATATTAAATATTAACCGAGGTGAAGCTCAGCTAATACATAATTGTTATCCGACATTCATAATCAAAGTTATCCGACCTTCATTTAAATTCAATTGATTTCGATCGATGGAGAACAAATTGCTAATAGAAGCTGTGCAATGTCTGATAAAGTAGATTTATTCTCAATGATTTATAGGCCCGCCAGTTCGACCTGTAATTAATGCATGCCTAAATGCCACTCAATGTTCATGGATTTGTTATAAAATTTGCCAATTCGGAATTAGAAATCAACCAAAATTAATGTTGAAATTCAATCGGCATATTGGGACGAGAACCATTGTTGATTAAAGTATTGCATGGATACGTTTAAAATCTCCTTATAACATTTTAAGTTACATGCAACCCTGCAATAACGTGCTCATCGCATGTGTTCCGAACACATGCCAATAGCACATTAGTTAATGTTCAGAAATCTTTCCACTATTCGTAATTTATTTCATGCATATTTTGTCAAATTATTTCGAGTCCACTACTTATTTTTTTTGTGTGGTTTGAAGTATCTACGCAGTTGGTATCTTGGTATCGCAATTTATCATTTGTGCCGCATGAGAATGTATATAATTTTGTTAGCGAGGCTAGTATTTTGGCTTTTAAGTTGATCGATGTTTTGTGTTGATCTTTTCTGCAATGTGGCTTTGCCGAACATCACTCGTACGGAAGCAGGCGTGACCGGCTGATAGCCATGACTGGTTTACACAAATCTGCTTTCCAGCTTTAGAGTTTCCTTTATTGATTTTTTGACCTATCAATTGTTCTTTAAAAAAATAATAAAAGCTGTTATTGTGCCTGGCACTGACGAAACCTTTAAATAAATATTCGTTAAAACATGATAGTGTTAAGGGGAGCGTCTGCCCCAAAAAATATCTGGGATATCAACAGACGGATCGATTCAAAATTTGGTACACGTATGTAACACGGAATTCTGTTTTTTTTTTGTTCGTGTGAATTTTTCGAAAAATTGAAAGAAAACGTGAAATTCATAGAAAACTGACAAAAAGGGGGTACTATAGAAATCTATCTCCTCCTAGGATTTCCAAGCTACAACATCGAGACATAGATCATTCGATGCGTAAAGACCATATCTACAACTGATGTAGAGGGTTTTTCGAATTTCTCATTTTTGTGAGTGTGGGAGCATTTTTTCCGAACTATTTCGAAATTTTCCAATTTCACCCCTCCCCCGCCCCACTTTTTGCAAAATAAAATCCCAACTATAACGAACTTGGAAAAAAGCTCCACATCAGTTGTAGATCTTTTCTTTGCGAATCGAACGGTATATCTCTCATTGTTGTAGCTTCAAAACTCTAGGAGGAGATAGGTTTGCAGTGACAATAAGTTAACTTTTCAGTAGGGCCCGACAAAGTCGCGCGCGCCTCGAAAAAGACATTCAAGGGTGCAAGGTTGCAAGACTAGACGATATTTGAGCTCAATTTCTGTCAAGGATGGTGTGAACCACGGCACGAGAACCATCCCATACGACTGCAGACGGATAACTTAAGCACAGCGTGTTCAGACTAGCTATTTAAGTGTGCTACCGGTAATTTCGGCCTATATTTAATGTTGAAGAACTCCACCACCCCTAACCCTTTCGCGCTCTGTCGTAAACGCATAAATCAACGTACAGAGATGGTTTTGGTACCGTTAGATGCGTCAGAATGTAAGCTTTAAGATGAGTATAAAAACCGAAAAAGTCAAAATTTTCGATTTTGGAGCAGACGCTCCCCTTAAACGTGTTTTTTTTTTAATTGGGCGCATAGGTTGTGAAGTACACGACTTGAAGCTGTTGAATCAGCCAGGCGCCGTACTAGGCTAGGCACCTTAATTTGCGGACAAGTGCGGTCCTCGCAGGTAGCTGCGTGTTGCCCTATTACCTAAGCCGCACGCTACACAAATAGAGGAAAACAAAACTCCTCGCACCTGTAGGCGTCGCTGGACAATTCGAAAAAAGCTTGGTGTTTTAGTGACTGAGCGGAAACTTTATGAAGGAGTGAAAACATTTTGCGGTTTTGCAAACCAACAGTAACTCATGATTCGTGTCCTGTGCGCCTGTGTTTTTTTCCGTGTTGAACGCACTTCCTGCTTCGTGAGCCAAATTTTTAAACCGTAGGATGTTATCGAGATACAAGTAGAGCCAAACCAGCTGCTTTTGTGTCATAAATGCTGAACATTGTAATAGGGAATGATTGCTACATTTTCGATAATTTTCGCGTTATTTTGTAGCGTGAAATGAAAGTGTCGTTTTGTCATTTGAATGCACTGTGTCTAGCTTGAAGTTATTCTCAGATCGTATAACGCTGTATGTAAATTTCAATAGTTATTGATGATGTTATTGATAGACTACAAACTAATCTAATCTGATCTATCATACATATCTTTTTCCTATGCCACCCTAAAACGTTCATCACGCAATCGGCCTAAAATCTTTCATTGTTGAGGTCTAAATTTAGAGCAATTGTTTCAGGAGTTCTGAAGATTTGTAGTAAATCCCATAGTTTCTTTCAAGCTTTATTAAACTCCGTGAACAGATGGTTTTTCTCGCCGTTTCGATCAATATTTCCCTTGCAAGACAACATTAGTATTTACTCGTTCCAAAAATTTTCAATGACATTCATAGCCAATAGGAAATCGTGTTTGCTTTTTTATGAATATGTCTATTGATTGTTTTTGTTTTGTGTGCAGATGACTGGCTTGAATTACCGTGATAGTGTGCAGCGGCTGGAGGTTTCCTTCATCTGCCAGTGCTGACGACAAAGCTCGGCGAGACGCTGTATCTGCGATCGCTGCGAGTTTACGTGTCTTTTATGATGCTGCGACTGCGCCGGCTCCTATGGCTGTGATAGTGGAACGCTGGTCCATACGTTGCTCTTACCCTAAGCCGGTGTGAGATCTAGAAGCTCCCCGTCGCTCACACAACTACGATCACTCTCAGAGTGAATCATTTTGAGAATGATGAGTGCTCCCTCTCCCACTCCTCCCACTCGCCACCACTTGCTCCACTCACATCACAACGCTCACCACCCGCATCATTCCACTACCAACGCTTCTAACACCCCCATTTCGAACTCCACCAACAATTGTTCTGCTTCATCTCCAGCTTCCAATAACTTGGATTCTCTAGAAGATAAGCATAGTTTGAAAATGAAAATAAAGCGGACTAAACCGCCTACAAAAACTAGTGAAGCCAAGCATGAAATTGTCAAACCTTTAGAAAGTGATAACGGAGATTCCCCTGCTCTCAATCACAACCAAGTGCCTCTAAATTCTGTGGTCAGTACTCCCGCTAATATCCATTTAAATTTAAATAGCAACAGTCAGGTGGAAGCTAATGGTTCCGCGCACAGTATAAGTCGTCAAAATGTCGTCAAACACAATCACAAAAAAGAGAAAAGAAGACACGATGTCAATGGTAGTTTACAATCAGTCAACAACCAGCACCAGTTAGGCAGTTCGCTGCACAACCCTTCACAGAAACACGCAACGTCTTTGCAACAAATGCCGCCGATGAGCTCGGCGGGCGGCCTTCAGGGTCCGCCCATGACGAGCTCCTGTCTCTCCACCAACACCAAGCAGACGGCCACTCCTGTCAAGAGTGGCGGTATTGCAACCCCTCAACACACTCCACTGCGCACCGACACGCTACCTCCAGCAAAAAGACTCAAAATCGTAAGTAATTCTTGCTCATGTGTTCATGGAGGTCATTCTTTGGTTTAAAAATCAAGTTTTACCGACAGTTTTCTACTGCATTAAGCGTACCTACATTACTATTTAGGGTCATTTACTTACAATTTTGTGTTCATGTCTGTATATAATTTTTTAGAACTTTATGATTCAGCTAAACGCCGATTATTTTTTGTACATTTTCTCGTAGCTGATTAGAATATTACTTTCTACGGTAGCTTCCTTTTTATGGACATGTATAGCTGAGCTATTTTGTTGAAATGTCAAGGAAGCGGACCCGGATTGAGCTGTACGATGTGATGAAAATTGGAACATTCTCGTGCTCTGAATAAAATACGGAAAAGGGGTCAGAAGAAGCCTGGCAGTAAAGCGCGGATCCACTCATCTGATGCCTTTGCATTGAAACCGTTAAACGCCTCTCCTCTAGAAACTATCCTGTCATTTTAACGTGCTTCAATCTCGCTTCCAAATTTATTCCATGCGTACTTCAATTTTGAAGTAACGTGGGCACTGTTCCTTGCCTTTCCCCTTGCTCGCTAAGCTCCTTGATTTTCTTGTCGATCGTAAGTGAAGTTGACATCTGTAGCCAATACAAGCACAAACTTTTTTGACGCTTTCTTCTATTTGTTTGCTCGTGGCCAATCCGGGGGGTCTTCGTGCGTTGTGTGTTGAAGACTGTCGTAGTCTTTGTACCTAATGCTTTTTGTCTGCGGAAACGTTTATTTGAAATTTATTTCATGTACCTATCACCTTCAACTAATTGGCGTTACAGAAGCTTCATATTTTTATAATTAGGTGCAAAGTTCAGTAGAAGTGAATGGTTGTCCCATGTGCTGTATTTTGAATTTTGTAAACGTAGACTTGAGTTGTTTGATGGTCAGACCTGATTTTTTCTTTGAAGTGCAAGACTTTTCCCTCTCGACGCGCAGGATTAATCTCATTTTGAGGCGTAGAATTGATTCCTAATCGTGCAAGTTTCTCTAACTGAGCTCAATAATTTTCCGCTTTGTAGGAATTAATTTTTTCCCCTTTTGCAAAATGAATCGTTGCCTATTTAGAGGTCATATATGGTCACTTGAAATCTTCTTACTTGAAATCGCATCTCGCCCCCCGGTTTGTGTTTGAGGCTTTGTTGTCAAACCTCTGCTAATCACCAATTTTTCAGCCCAACTTTCTGTACTCAACATCATCCCCTACCATTCCTGAAAATTAAAATCTAAGTATTAGTTTCAATGTTTTGTTTCAGAAACTGTTTCCGCATTTTTTTAAACACAGAAGTAGCAATATCTGTTGAATTGGTGTCAGTAACTTAATAAAGTTGAAACAAATTTTATTTCGGCAAGTTGCTACCCTTGTATTTCTGTCACTTTTTTGCATGATTAACTCCTTCAATAGGCAAAATTTTGGGAAGCAACAAGGAGTGACTACTATATCTTATAATTGTTTATATTTTATTATAGTGGTTTCCAAAATTTTAATATACGGTAGTCACCTTTCTATTTAGGCATATTTCACACGAAAGGTTTAGTCAGCGCACAATACTTCAAAAATATCATTTTGGTGTGCAGGGCGAGGAGGCATCTGGTCCGTCATTCGGTGGCAGTTCAGGAGGTACAACGAGCTACCGAGACGTGTGTGTGGGCACCAGCGTAGGAACCATAACTGAACCTGACTGCCTGGGACCATGCGAACCTGGTACTTCTGTCACACTCGAAGGCATCGTGTGGCACGAAACACAAGGAGGTTCGTTGTGGGCATCACATAGAGAACAATTTTATGCCCAAAGCATTCCGGGTGGAATGATAGCTTCTGATTCTGGCTCAAGTATATACTAAGCATAGCTAATTCATTGCAGGTCTGTTTATAAATACCTGTGTGCTGATCGCAGTTGTTGGTTAGATGGTTCCACTTCCTTAACAATAAACCCAAACTTAAAATTTAAATACTATATTCTAGTTTGATAAGACCGTTCTTACGTTTCAGGTGTACTGGTTGTAAACGTGACGTGGCGAGGCAAGACGTATGTAGGAACGCTGCTTGACTGTACACAACACGACTGGGCTCCTCCTCGGTGAGTGCTGACAGTCTCCTGCAATGCCTCTTCAAGCCGTAGATACATTGATGATTCATCAGATTACATACTGCGTGATGATTTTATGAAACCACTTATCAACTTTATATACGGGCAGATTTTGCGATTCACCTAACACCGAGGACATGGATTCTCGGACTCCGAAAGGGCGCGGTAAGCGTGGTCGCTATGGAGGCGGCAACGTTCAGACGTCGCAGTCCAGTGGAACGAGTGGTGCTGGTAGCAGTGCGATCAGTGGATCAAGTGGTGGCAATGGAGGGAACAACCAGACTTCTTCTAATTCTACATCTAATACCTCCACTAATGATGTTGGTAACGTTACCGAAACAAGAAGTGGCAAGGTTCGCGGGAACCAACCTCAGAAGGGTCGTAGAGGTGGCGGCAATAATAGTGGAAATAGTTTTGCCACTCCTAACAGCCCTCAAAACACTGCCGCAAATAAACGCAAAGGCCGTGACACTGATGTGCTAAACTCCAACGATCTCAAGAATAAGAAAGGCAGGATGTCCGGTAAGATTACCGATGGCAGTGCAGATAACAGTCCAGACAACTCCAACTCAGCCTCGCAGGCGGCCGATGACGCGGCTCCATTAACCGTGTCGTCTCCGGCCCAGTCGCCTCAATATATAGAATGTCCTGAACCAAATTGTTCAAAGAAGTACAAACACATGAATGGACTAAAGTATCACCAGAACCATGCTCACAACTCGACAGAAGAAGATGGCTGTGGTCAAGTTGACGGGGATGATTCCGGTAACCTCGTTTCAGAAGAAGTCTGTACTGAATCTCATGTTCCTACAGATTCTTCAGAAGAAACGTCCCAGTCAAAGAGTAGCGGCAATAATAGTGCCTCTGATTTGACTAATAATAGTTATGGTAGTTATTCCAACCGAAGTAGTCCTGCGCTAACCAATAATGTATCGAGCTCCGATGCTGCTTCTGCCATTTCTGGGATGGCAGTTTCTCGTGAAATCTCGACGATAAATAAGCCTGTTACGTCTGCTCGTATAGGTGTGACCGCAGCATCTCAAACCGTGTCCTTAGAAGAACATCAGAGTGAAAAGTACGAACAATTTGCCCACAGTCAATGTCCAAAGCCTCCCATGTATCAGCAGAGAAGTGTGCCTCACCTAGTTTCTACTCAGTCTTCATCGTACCACCCTTCGCCTTCACATCAAGATGGGCCTTTAATGAGCGAACAGACATATTCATCAGTGCAGACGATTTACTCTCATTCGAGTTCAAGTGCAGGATATGCCCTGGGCTCACCAGTCGTGTCTCATCCTTCTCATAGCAGTCATCCATCTTCGCCACTGCAAAATTCATCTTGCCCTAACAGTGAAGAAACTCATTCTTCAGTTATTGCTCGTTTGCCTCAGGCTCCTACTCATCCTATGTATTATTATCCCCCTAACTCACTTGGTTTATTGAGGCCCGGGTTGAGTCAGAGCAGTTCTGTCCAAGGCATGCCTGGCACTACCATCAGAAGCAATCCGGTCATACGACCAGGCATCATGGGAAGCGCCGTGCAGGCCAGGCAACCTGTTCCTCATGTGATTTCAAATGCCCCTGCCTCCATCAGTAGCGCTCCGAGACCAACCCTCCTATTATCAACACCACAGAGTACTCAATTGAGTACTCTACCTGGTTCTCCTCATGTCAAAAACGGAACGAGTAAAACAAGTCGCGAGAGTGGTGAAGACGAGGACCCTCGCTCTCCAGCCTATAGTGACATTAGCGACGCTGCTGATGCTCCTTCTATAGAAGGTGAAGCATCTAACAACAATCCTGTTGATAGAAAGGACAATCCTGTAAAACCTGATCAGCTGCTCATTCAACCATCGGGTCCTTTCGTTGGTATCGGAGCAGTTTACGGTCAATACGAAAGTTCTTTTCCGCCACATAGCCCTTACCTTTTAAGATATAATCCCACACATCCTATGAGTAAACAACCAGAAATGAAAGAAAATTGCAAGGTTGGTGACGAGAAAAAAGAAGCTCAGGATAGTACAAACTTTCAAGCTGGTCCACCCTCATTTCCTGGGGGTCTGTATCCGTATGCTGGTGGTTTAGCACCACCTCCCCATTACACGAGCGATCCCTACTATGCACACCTTGCACACTCTTTGCCACCTGTCGCGCAAGCTGCGCCCGTGGATGTCAGTCACCCATCTTCCAAAGAAGTTAGTGGACTCCCAGTTCCTAACTTGTCAGCGCCTAAGCTAGGGTCTGGTAGTCCTTATCAGGCTTCTCTAGACCCCAGGTTATTACATCCTCTTCTATCAACTGGCCTCCCTTTACCCGTTCGCCTGCCTCACCCCGTCGATAACTCGCATAGCAAGGATGGCGAAGCTGGTCCTTTGAGCCTGGAAAACAAAATTACAGCGCCATCTAGTGATAATGACAATCGCGAGGGCCCCAATTCTTTAGATGCCACTGCTTCATCATCAGGAAGCTCCTTCAGCCAGGTTCGTTTCAACTCAAAGCCTTGATTATGAATTTTCATACGGCTTTTGGGGTTGAAATTCGGCATGTGCAATTTTTGTGACAACGTTGTTTATGCAGGAAGTACTTCCACTTCTAAGAGTCGCTTGTCTTCACTCTCACACCTGATACATTCTCATTTTCAGACTTGAGTCGCAAGAACGCAAGGAGCCAGTGTCACTGAAATTATCCAGTTTTCTCTGGGCAAAGAAGCCGGCCGGGTGAGGCGCGGCTTGCCTTCCGTATGAGCTTGTAGGCTGTTACGTCACTGCCAAATAGGGTTATCTTTAAAATGATATGATATTCGATGTTCTAATCCGCACCTGTGTTTACCTGAGGTTTATAAGATCAATGTTTAGGGGTTTTACTCTATCACTGCAATTAGTTTTGTGTTCTATATTTTATTTTCATGCAAAAATATGAGATCAAAGATTTCAATCTGCTTCGATGTTCACTTCCATATTGTTTCCAGAAAGACTAATCAATAGTTGTGGATGCCCATTATGGCTACATACGTATTGTTTTAAGAGGCCCTGAAAGACAACGTATTTTAATGTTTTACCAAACTTGTCGAGGTGCAAGCGCTCGGCTGATAATTACAAAAATTAATAAATCTTTTTAGGGTTGTGATACTACTGTATTTATTGTCTGAGGAATTTAAACTAGTGAAGATGTTCCCCATATGGTGCGAGGCATGGTTTTAAACTACCTCATGTTTGTGTGAACTGTTCAAGTCTAGCCTCATTACTCGATCACATTGATCGATATATAGGCGACTTTGAACCGACTTGTATCAGTCCCTACTATTTATTTGTTGATAATTTTTTGCCCCTGTGAACCGGCAAGGATTATAATTCCCCTGCGTGAATGTTAGATTGACTTATTTTCACTGTACGCTCGTTACGGGCGGTTTTGTTTTGATGTTAGGGGCTGATCTCATTAGAGCTGGAGTAGTAATAGTGTTTAATGGGATGGCCAAGGCCGTTGCTCATTGAAATACTATATGTCTGTGTGTGCGTTCCTTTAATTTATTGTAGCCCTCTGGAGACTTCGGTGCTCAACTGTACATGCTTACAAGTTCAGTTGCGTGAATTCAAACAACGGTCCTCATTTATGCTATTTATGAAGCAACTTGGGGTGCTGTGCATCCTTTGTGTGGAAAAGGTACAGAATGAAAGTTTCAACGAGATTTTAGTATTTTTTTAACATTCACTTCCATGTATGGACGCCTTGGTGCGTGTTAACTATCGATTTGTTTAGGTGTCTACTGGGATACTAGTAATATGCCCTTCAAAACCCTGCGCTTTCAAGTCATACACCTAAATCGACTGCCGGACTGTAGCATTGGTTGGGCTCTTAAATTTTACTGCCAGGTCAGTGAAATTCTGCTGAGGTATTCTTCAAGGTAGTCTTTTCGAGACTCCAGTAAATTCGGAATGGAAAACATCACAGTTTTTTTGTGCGAGGATGACGCAGATTTCAAGCGAAGTTTCGTCAGTGGGTTCTAGTGACCGGGTAGCACAGGCGAGCATCTCTGAAGCGTTATTCTTCACTCCTAGCAACCTTCCAAGATGTTCGAGTGCAGGGAATTTTCTTATGTATGGCTTCTGCCTTGTAATTTTTTTAATTATTACTAGGCCTTGTTTATAATTGAGTTCTAGAAAATTTGGAAGATTCTATTTACAAATATACTATTTCTTACTAGCCTTTGATCATTCTCCCTCTCAGGAAGTGCTATCTACTGGGTATGTGACGCGTATCGATATTTTGTGAGCATATATATACCTGGAAGTTATTGATTATGTATATTCTGCATATAAGTGAGCTAATGTACTCCTGGGGATTTCCCTCTTCATTGATCTACTCGTCATATTCTCATTCGAGTCTTAACTCGAAATTCACTGAATATCGAATGCAATAATAGATTATAATTATCAGTCTACACAGTTCCATTAGTTGATTGTAAGTTTACGGACTGAAGTGAAGTCCTGTGTTGTGACGACAAGTATCTGTGACAAATACATTTATAACTTCTCTCCATATAATTGACAGTTGTCGAACGAAAATTCTTTGATTAGAGTAATTTCGAAAAGTAGTACGTGGGAATGATGCTTGAAAATGAGATGTCTCTGGGTGATAGAGGTGGCAAACATTTCTAATATTTTTCGAAAGAGATATGGAGTGATCAACTCCTTCAACAGATGATCATTCAGCATTTTATTTTAGCGAACTTTACATTATCACGGTTGATTAAATCATACAACAATACTACTCTAGGATGAATGCTAAACTGGAAAGAAATAAAATGGGTTCAATGGATCACTTAATTGTTGCTTAGAAGAAGCAGCATCCTAGACAGGCTTTGTCCTCCCCTGTGACAGCATCCTGAAAAAATATCAAACAATAAGTATCCAAATTATCCCTGAAGTTACTCGATAATTCAGTTTTTGACCCTCATTCAAATTATTCTCCTTTAAATTATCAAGAAAGTTACTAAGCATCATTCAAATGACTGGCCAATGGGATTGATTATCTTGTGGTCAAGACACTAACGTATCGAGTTACACTTGTAAATTATTGGAATCTCTGTTTAATAATTTTTAAAAGAATCCCCTTTAAAACGAGGTACTTATTAAAAAATCCCTAAGTTCATGGGTTTGATTAAAGGATCATTCGCTTGAATTTGGAATCACCAAAATTATTTGACACTTTCTCGGTTTAATGAAGTAATGACGAGCGAGAGCGACGCGATGCACAATGATAGCATGCCACATCGTTTCCAGGAACAAATTCATATACCGTCAGCAAGCCTGATGAAGTGGCGGAGCGCGCTGAAACGGCTGAATGCAGTACACACCGTTGTTTAGTGACAATCGGTTCGCATTACCGGCTTAAATAATAAATATTCAATAACCAGTCTTAATTCCCGGGCTCACCAGAAAGAATACTGCAGCAACGAGCAAGGCTTTATCAGTGACGAGAAGGTCGATTGGCATGTGGAAGTTGAAGCCAATTCTGTACCCAAAGTCCCTTCTGCGATAAATGAACCCAATAGTTTTTCTGCGCTGCCAGCAAACTATCTGTAGGACAGTAGGAACGAGATAGGTGTTTTCTACAAATTTTGGCACAATGTTATGAATGCAGAATGAATTATAATGTTGCAATTAATTGGTATCAGACGCCATTGTTAGTTCAACTTTCACTTCCTCTCCTAATTATGTCATTCAAAGATTGAAGATACAGCTAACCCTGTAATCATTTAAACTACAACAGCCGCGGCTACGATCCTGTCCGATGTAGTATATGGGGTTGTCTTCATGATCCGTCACGGTCAACCCAAATCTCCACCATGCGCTCGTATTCATCACGCTACCCAGGTATGTGTTGGGAAGAGAGGTCACCTCCAGCATCTGCCAGATTAAATAGTTAAATTGACATCTTATTAAATTTTAAGCAATATTTCTACCACTGAGCAGAGTGAGCCAGTGGTTACAGTTCAGAATGAAAATTTGGAGCAGAGGGGTGCGGGTTCTATCCAAGCTCCGTGCAACAGTTTTTGGTCAGAATCGGTTAGGAGGCCGAGCGGTCCGAGCGGCACAGCAGAATTGGAGGAGTGACTTGCGTGTTCGAGATCGGCGGCAGGTCTTAACGGCTTAATCAACGCTGAAACCGCTATTACTATTGCAATTACTTAATATTTGAATGTATTTTACGTCGCAATCACCGGTTTGATTACTTATTGCCCACTACTTCTAGAAAGTTTATGGGAGGAGCAGTTTTCCAAAGTAGGAACTTGCAGTATCAATTTGTTGGCTTAAAAATACATAAAATCATGGACACAAATTTATAAACATTAAAACTTTACGTGATTTCAGTGAAACACTGTTTGTTAAAAGTCCCCCTAGTTGAATATTTATTGATACATCTATTTAGTTTGCACAGTAAAATGGTCAATGTATGCCTTAATGATATGTAATATATTAAGCAAGATCATCAAATATTTTCCAACCAGGATTTAAAAACTCTTCTTTCCTCAAATAAATTTCATAATTCGGGCACGTATATAATTCATTATATACACAACAAGACAAATTTATCTACTTTACGCTTAAATGTTAATCGCTAAATATTCTGTTATTTTGACGTGTTCTCTTTTACAAGGCTGGCAAAAAGTTTGTTACGCGAGGGACGTACTCTTCTGCTGCAGCACCCGTCCTGCACTTCCACCATTTGCAACACAGGTCCGAAGTAGTCGAAGAGCAGGCGCGTCTGGCTGTGTTGACAACTGCAACTGTCAACACAGCAGCCACAGAAATTGCCTTCGCTGTGCGGCTCGATGGTCGACCACAGTAGTGGTCCGTTCTTCTTGCTGAGCTCGAACACGGTTCTGCGCCTACTTTCGTCTGTGAAAGAAAGTGGCGTGACCCTCTAACCCAACTATCTATAAATCGACATGAAGCTCGCATCCTTGTTGATCGTACTTTAATTAAAGTATTCAGTAAAGTCTATATGAAACCATGTTCCATCGTGTGGATGAAAACCGTTTTAAACAGCTTCCAATCAGAATAATAAATGCCGTAAAACTTGAACATGATGCATTGAAAACGGTAACTTCTATAAGGCGAAGATGGAACTATAAAAAAAATCGAAAAAAAAAACAATTGTCTCTTTCGTATTTGAAACAAGCCGTTCACAAACCTCGGAGACAAAGGTTCCCCGCCGTTAGTAATCATTTGCGATCCATACACGTAAACACGTTTGCATCTTATAAAAAATCAGTTATCATGACGTAGAAAAAGCCGCGTCCGCAAATAACGAGAGACGAACATCATTTAATTAACGATAGTGGTAATTTACATGTTTATTAAAGAGAATTCGTAACTTCTGAGAAAATATGTGAAGCAAATTAAAATATGTTTTTTGCATCATTCATTTCACATAATTTTGCAATCGTTCTATCCTTACTTAAAATTATGCTCGCTTTCAGAATAGTAACTATAACTCGTGTAGAATCAATTATAATCAGAGTTAAATTACAAGTACTGCTTTTTAACTTACCTTTCATGAGAAAGAAACAGCGAACTGATTCTAAAATATCCAGTTCCATTGACGTGTCTGGTGTTGGTATGCCATCTTTAATCTCTAAATTTTCTTCATATTCTGAAAGATAAAATATCATCATTATCATAGCAAACTATTAAAATACCTAATATCATCATGCATTTGCCAATAATGCATGCAGTTATATGAACATATGTGAGGAAACATGTTTTTTCATCTCAACTAACCGGAATAGTCGGGTGTAAATGGATCGCTAGGAGTAGGAGGCGTCGTGACTAATTGCGACATCGCGGGTCGCGTCGTCGTCGTAGTTTTAGCCCGTTGGTGTCTTTCTACAGTGACCGCACGCTGCCGAGCTGTTCCTGGGCGGTCAAGCGTATTATTTTATATATTATGCTTTAATTACAATACTTACAATTACAATAATTACTAAATCTACAAAGATTTTAACTTTGGCTGATGCTGGCTGTTTCTAAAGATTTCGCGAGGTGACTTGAGCACTTATTATTCATTTTCTATGCTTTAAGATAATCGGAATTCGGTCATTAATTCATACGTGAGGTCGCCAGTCATTATCCGCACTTGAAGCAAGTTCGGAAATTGATCGTACAATATCAGCATTTTTGTTGAAGACAAAATTCGTAACAAGGTGGGGTGGAACTTTAATAATACGTTAAGGAAAAAAAATGTAAATATCACTCGTGTCAACTGGGAACCTGTCGAAAAAGTAAATCTTACAATAGTTTTCGTTTAAGAAATAAATAATACAATATAAAAGTTTTGCATAAATTACAAAGGATTGGACTGGGAATAATGCTGAAGGATTAAATGTAAACAAGAGGAAAACTACCTACACAGTGTAGCCTATTTAAAGGAAAATATAGGATTATTATCATAATAGGAGAAAAAACACGTAAATTTTGGGTACACTACTCATAGTCTAGCTGCATTAAAAAGTGCAAAATGGCAAGCTGCAAGGTATCGAAGTATTTCAAAAAGATTGCACGCATCCAAGATGAAGTTCATAAAAAATAATCAAGATAGGTATTACATGTAATTGAAATAATTTCTGCAAAACATTTGTAAATTTTTATAAGCCTCTCAACCGATTCATCTGATACCTTCGTAAATGAATTTGTATAATTCAATGGCTTTACGGAAGGCATATGTCTAATCATATGTACAAAAAATATATGTCAAGGCTGATGCACATGAACTGTATTGGTAGTCACAGTGTACCAATGTACACACATAGACCGACCGAGCATTGATTTTTACGTGATGGCATTGAACGCCGCTACGGTTATATAAACGTATATGGATCGCCAGGGAAATAAAATTGATCTTGCAACAAGTTAAAATCATACTGCAGAAGTTTTTTCATCAGTTTACTAGACTTTTACCAGTGAAATAGCTATGAATACCGATACGTTTGTTTCTGCAGCAAAGCGGCTATAGGGTGATGAAATTTTCGTAGAATTTTTTATTTTAATTTTAACGGTATGAAATTTTTAGTTATTATTTGCGATTGAAAAGCAATGCATTTCACTGTTGGGTATTGTCCGGAGCTGCTGTCAGGCGCTACATAAAGCGCCCCCTGACTGGAGAAGGGTTCATTGACTAATTTCTTGAGGGATAAGTAAGACACCATCTGTCTAGAGAATTATCTTGATACGGGGTGGTCATACTGTTATACACGAGTCCGATGATGAGTGATACAATACAGGTAAAGCTAAGACGTCGACCGTTAAGTCAGAGAACTCTAATGCGAATTACATTTCGGTTTGTGTTCTTATCAGCTTCAGCGGGGGGCTTCACTAAGGTTCCGCAGCCCTTTTATAGAATCACGGCTATCGCGTGATCTATCACGTGATGTTTCTAGACGCCGACTCAGAAACAGTACTTTTCCATCAAACACTATCACGTTTAGTGAATATTACGTCTCAATTACAGATGATCATATATCTTTTAATATAATTATAATGAATATAATTAGGGGCCAGATGGCACAGGTCATTAGAGACAGGTCATTAGAAAAACCGCCCCCTTAGAGAGGGCGGTTTTTCGCAAGAAGTGGCAGGAGAGAATCAGGCGGAAAGGCAAAGAAAATCAGGTCAATCACTTCCAAGCTGCCAAGACAACACCGGCTGCTCAAGGACAGTCAGAGGAGATGGAGGACAAGTAATTAGTAGGAATGATGTCCGTAGATTAAGGCCTGTAAATAATGTAGGGAGTAACCGCATACATCAAAGTGAAAGTGCACAAAAAGTTTTAAAATGTTTTTACACGAACTCGGATTCCGTTTTGAACAAAAAAAGTGAACTGTTAACTGTGATCGCAAACGAGAGTATAGANAGCTCCAAGTATGAACGCGTTCAAGAACAGACTAGATAAAGCTATGGAAAAATATATGTTCAGATTTGAAATGCCTAGCTCCTTATCGAACCCGGTGGAAGTCTAGTAGCTTCTTCAAACTATCGCCAGTCATGAAAAGATCCGGTCAAATGACACGAGTTTAGATCTATGAACAAGGCACGAAATGGAAAAGAATCGGCGACAGGCCACATCAGGCCTACACTTCAGCGCCGACATCACTATGTTATGTTATGTTATTATCACTTTTTTGGAAATGACAGTGAAACATGTAGGCAGAATTGAATGTAAAATTTCCCTCCAATTGGAGCTCCCTCGTGAATGTTTTTGAACTAAATTTTACTATTCAAGTTTCATATGCATGATTTAGTTTTTATAATTACGGACAGCATATGGAAATAATTATATATTAAATCTTCAATTAAGTTCTGTTTGAGTGAATTTTAAAGTTCCATTTCTTAAAATATTTCATTTTTACACAATTCAAATGCATTAGTTGATTAGCATCTAACGTGCGACCTTTTACCTCTATTAATTATTTTTTTGCTTGAGCCTTTTGGTGATAACATTTTATGCCCAAATTGGGTAGGTGCAAAAACAGATATGGAATGGGTCTTGAGTAGCCCAAACCTGAGTATTGATATACTTATAGCTATGAAACAACATAAATATCATTAGAAGGCATTGCAAAATGAATGGTGGGTTAAACGATGATTAATGCAAATATCGATCGGTAGCCAGTTATAATTTCTTCTCCTGCTCTGATTTATATGCAAATGTATTAGTGCAAATTAATGAAGTAAACAGTATAAATGTGGGGTCACAGCAGGGTGGGTAAAGTAGAAATAAACAACATACCTAGGAAGTTTGGTTTCCACTGCAAAAGTACATTGGTACACTGCGACTACCAATGCGATGAAGCTATAATCGCGTAGAATCTGCTTCTTAATTTTTAAAATCCTTTTCGTTCGTTAGAGAACAAGATTGACGACAATTTAACCTACAAAGCCCGAACAACGTAGTAGCCAGAGCTCAACTGAAAAGTTAACTCTAATCGTCTTCGTCTGTTTACTCTACCTGTCAAGGGGTGCTAGGTAACCGATCGGTCTAGGTGAGCTATTCGATCGAGTTAATAGCAACTGGGTCACGGGCATTTTCTTTCAAACAAATTGCGTCAAAGCAGGCTTTTAATGTTTTCAATACTCACAATATAAATTAAATTGCCTGACAATGAGCAATAATTTTGAATTTACGGCATAAAATACGTTCTTAAATGCAGTATTTTCAGGGCAAAATGTAATTCGACCGTAAAATATATTTTGTACACAACTTAGCTTCTTATTTTCTTGTACAATTAAAATGAATAAAATTCAGTAGGAATTAAAACTTTTGGAACAATCAACATGGAGTTAATCTGTCCTCGAGAATGCTAAAATTTAATTGTATAAATTTAAAAAATTTATAGATATTTAGAAAATTTATAGATTCTCTTCATTCAAGCGGCATTGTGACTTCTATATGTACAACAAATTTTACACTACACAGTGAAAACAACTGAAAAAATGAAAATACAATGAAACAACATAAAACAACTTGTCCAATAAATAATATAGAGTCCACCGGACGAGAAGTAGAAAACGAAACCTTGACAGGTATATTTCGGTTATTTTCTACCAGATTGTTAACGCACGTTTGTTTAATAAGGTACAATTTACTGTACAAAGTATTCATAACTAAAGTATGACTTAACATTTACTCTAAATAGCAGTAGGAATTAATAAAATCACAAAAAATTTCCATTATTACTCTAGAACTTTCTGCACAATGCCGGAGCTTTAATCAATTTTATTCTAAAAAAAAACATTAAAAAAAGTTTTTCGAATAGTTATTTAATTTTCTATTGTTATTGGTAAAATATCATTACACAGATCACTGATTAACTTACTTGCATCACGCACGCGTTTACGGAAACTGTCTGCTGCAGGCCAATAACGAAAAAATGAATCGTATAATTAATTATCACGAGGCGGATTGTGTGACCTATACTGAAGTCACCGTCGTTATCAGGGACTTCAGTTTTAATTAACGTCGATGACGGTGTGTGTGTCTGACGACATACGGTTAATTTATTCAAATCAAATGGCTCCAAAAGACACATTCCGTGTGGAGAAATATACATGTACCCAAGCGATTATTATTTAATTTTTTGTTTAAATTATTCAAGATGAGTAATCTAACAAAAAGGACGAGGTTTCGGTATCATAAAAGTTCTTTACGCCTGAAAAACATTAGATTAAATGTTGGCATATGAAAATATTCTTCTTTTAATAGCATCTGACGAAATTCGACTTTTAAATTTCTTATTACTTACTGTTGATGGAAAAAAGCTTCAATTAACACTATTTTTAGCTCATTTTCTCATTTATGGAAAAAAATGCACTATTGTGTTCGCCATGTCCATCTGTCTGTCCGTCCGTGACCTCAAGTTTTCGTCAACGAGAAAATGCGCTCTAGCTGTCACTCACTGCAGTGAGTACTGAGTTATATTTTTTTTATGTTTCGCCGTCGTTTTTTTCAGTTTACCGCTGTTATTTATTAACCTGACTGATAAAATAGATAGTTCTCAAGCAGCTTTAACTAAACAGGGGAAAGTGGAAGCTTTTTCAGAGGATCTTCACCAGCAACGTCAATAGCTCCTCCATAGCATCGCTCCGAAGCGTCCATCCACCGGCTGCTGGCTCCGGTCCAGCCTTGCTTCCGGCCTTCACATTCTGAGCCCTGCTGTAAAGTTTGCCGCACTCAGCATACGTACGATCGAGTGCCACACATTTGCATATGCTCTATGACGTGGATTTTATGAGCTCCGTTGAAGGAGCCAAGGATTCATGGGACTCCAGAAGTGAGCCACTTTAGAGTGACAGTTGACAGTCGGTGAGAATTTTTATTGATTGCTCTCTCTTTGCCATGAAATTTCAGTCATTTTTGACTGAATGCATCTTACGAGCTCCGCTGACGGAAGGAACATCATTGCAGCGTGAAAAGAGCCACTAAAGCGGCCATTCTGTAGAATGATATATAACTGAGCCCCACATTTTTGTCGGAAAAACGCAGCAGTACTTGGTGACAAAAATTAAAGTTTAAATAATAATCAACGCCAAACAATAAATATTATTGAACTGGAGACACACCTATAACTTGGTCTAAAGATTCGTTTACACTTGAGTTTTGTTTAGGCATCCTTCATAGTGAAGCAAGTTTGGCTTACTAAGTTCTTTCAGTTATCCGCTTGAAATACATGAGATAAATAACGAAAGTTAATCGTCTGCCTCGCTGATGGTTATTGTCGCGAATGGTTTTGCTTATTCGCTTTGAATGTTTCGTACAATAATTACTAAGAAAATTAAAAGGATTTTATAGATAAATTGTTATTGTAATTTCGAAACATGTGTTAATGTAAACATAATTTCAACTAGCGAATATATCCATCGAACTAAAAAAATTGCCATCGCCCAGTAATTTTTTTATTCAAAATATAATAAATTCGGGGGAAAGTACAGAATGCTTATTTGTTAGCCGAGAACCGATTCTGTATGCAGTGGCACGTTCCAGTCTCGAAGCAGAAAGCATGCATATTCTTCACATTATTTTCAACTTGAGCCTGGATTGATCTTTATTTTGAGACTTCTCATGCAGGACTCATCTGATTAAAAGAGTCGCATTTGTTAACGAGATAATATTTCAGACTCAAAGACAAGCAAGCGGAGAAATATTATTGTCTTTTGAACATGGCTGCTCGAGCTTGGCATTGTAAGTCGACATGTATGGGCTAGTATATACGTTTTATTAGGCCTTGAGTCTGTTATGCTCGGAAGCGATGCTTTCATGGCGATACCATCGCTGCGCTGTGTAGTCATAACAACTGCACGAGTTATGAAGATAGACTCCGCATCAAAATTGTCATTGCAAGTAGATTTCAAATGTGTGTGCAGAGTACCTTTGTTGCTTATTACTTGTATTTCGAATAGTTTTTGAAAATTGCAATGGCAGATCGAGTGCTAAGTTTTATGTCTTATAAGTATAGTTGGGAGAGAAAGTGATTTTATCCCGTTTTATCGAAAAGATATTTCAACGCCAAAGCTGATTATTACGATTGCTTGAATCGTAACGTTAAGAAAGTAATATTTTAATTAGCATGCAACTCAGTCGGCAAAATTACTATTTTAGAACAACCGGAACACCACTAAAAGGGAATAAACGCGTATTAAATAATAAAAACGCAGTGTACAAAATGTATATAGTAGCCATATTACCAGTTACGTGAATTTATTTACTTTTCCCGTAGTATATTATTCTTTGAAGGAAGATTCCAACAAGAAATATTGTTCTGCTTTTTTAAATGCATTTAAATAAATTGAATAGCGCTACGTCGGCATTATTATTGCTCTCCTCATTTTATGAGCCTTGTTGTGAGCCCAACGGATATTCTCCACAAAGGCTGCAAACAAAATCCTTCGGAAAATTATAAGATTTAGATAACACGCCTGGCTTGCAAGTTGCGATCTCTTAAGTATATTTCAACATAATTTTAATGCGATTTTACGCTACTTTAACATGTGAATGCGCATCTTCTCTGATAAAGAGTAATTTCAGTTAAAATAGTATCAGTTATTTATTTTTTCTTTCTGTCTATAATTACTAGAGCGATGATGGAATTGTGGTAGTAGATATGTTGTTCATGGTTTAACTTCCCATTTTTTGGATTGATATAGAATGAAAACAAAATTGCTATCCAGCATCGCAGTTCAAATTAAACTTTTAAAATGTGTTTTTTTTTTGTTTCCATAAACTAAATCGTTATTCTTGCTGATGTTTTCAACAAACTGAAGCTCAGCGCCAGCCATCCAGCTATTTACTGTTCTTACGAATACTTTTATCCCAAGTCATAGAGATCAACGCGTCTCAGCGCCATGAAGAATTCACGAAGGCCAAAATGCAGAAACGCTGCGGCTGGGATTTTCCGGAGGAGGTGTCATCGATGGTTTTGAAATTCAGACAATGTTGTTTGGCTATAATTTACCTACCACGCAGTTACATTTATTTTTGTCTCGTTGATTTACAAAAGGCGATTAAATTGACTCAATCGAATATTATGCGTAGGTGCGTAAACGTAACTACCAGTGGCGTGTCTTGGAGAATACCGGCTGATCGCTCTGAAATAAATAATTAGAAAAATAAAAACCGAACTTTATATGGTTCTAATATTAATATTTGGTTTACGAAAGCATGCGTAGTAATTGCAAGTAAACCGTGAACCTCTTTGGCCATCATATACCAGTGATAATATGATTCTTTATTCATTAAATGGATTATAACTTTGTAATAATTGGACTTACTCCCTCGGACGCTTCATAGTTAGTTTCCTCCCAGAGAGGTTTTGTCATTGCGTCTGACTTGAGGTTCTCGAAATTACGAGAAAACTGAACTCCTGCCAAGCATTTCTCTGCTGTTCTTCAAGACAAATCGCGCTCTTGAACTGCGCCATCGGCGCCAGGCAAGAAAATGCAAATTTTCTAATGTTTTCCTCCGTGAACTTGAGCAATACGGGATGATTATGAGCACAGAAATATAAACAAATATACATCTAATAACTGTACAGATATTTAAAACCATGTTAAAACTATGGAGCCGATTAGAGAAAAAAATTCATCATAATAATGATATTTGATTCATGATAGTTCTCATTTGCATCCAGTCATGTTGCCGTGCTCATTTAATGTGATGAAGATAAACATAATGAGTTATCAATATCGATATTCGGCTCAAAACTAAAAGAAAGAGCTTAAAATAAGTAACAAAATTCATCAAAGTTTTTTGGCAGCTGATGAAATGAATGACATGTCCATTCCTTCAGTCAGTATCCTTCCAATTGAGATCTGTATTTGTCAAATTCCTATGGTTTGTGAAGACGTTTCTGTCCCATAGTGCATTAGTCTCCGGCAAGCGACCTATGTTAGAGAGAATATCAAGGTCTAGACCGATAAAAAATTTTTATTATCCTTCTTTACAATAAGAAATTATGGGGCTTGGCAGACCGCTTTTGCGCGGGAAGTAACGGATGGTCTTGAGACTTTCAGGACAACTAACTCGGATTAAGTGACTTTTATTACTTGAGAAAATCATGACTTTTATGGTATCATTAGGTTAAAATTTATTAGATCACAGCATATTCGAACACAGCATGTGCAAAATTACATGTTAATTAGAAACTTTTAAATTCATTTTAAACAAATACTTCACAATATTTATTTGTGATTAGACCTTTGGCATTAAAACTTATAACTGAATACAATGCGTACTTTGACTCAATGAATTGCTTTCAAAATATCCAATCTACTCGGCGCACTCAATTTTCCTTAACTGAAAAGAAACTGAAAAATGGAGCAATGCGTATCGACATGTTTACATGGCACATGATGAATTGTCTTATATACGGCTATGTTAACATGAATTATGACAAAAAATTTACAATAAAATGATAGTCACTTTAATACATTTTTTAGTCCAAAAGTAGCTTCGATGGCTAACTATATTTTGGCAATGTATTTTGGTAGTGTGGGTATAAGTTGCACCTCAAGTTGTGATGTGGGTTGACGCTTTTGCTGTACCGCGGAGTTTTTATCCGAATGTCAATTTTAGCTCATTAAATATATAATTTCTGTAGCTAAGGTTCATAGTATGCGAGGGCACAGCAAACCAGATGCATTACCCAAAGCAATGTTTGCCCTACCTCAGGTCACGAATGGCGGTCTCTGCGGAGGAGGCCGCGGCGTATATAAGAAGAAGTTGACCTCGACTGGAGTCAGAGCTTCACTGGCTCACGACGCGTAAACACCAAGTATTTCTACTGCGTTCGAGTTCTCATCGTATTGAGTAACTTTAAAAATGAAATTCATTAACTATCAATTCGAAAATCTTTGAAATTTTCTAAAAATTACCTTGTATAACGTTGATAGTACAGTTGAAGTAATAACAACTTCTCTATTTGATTTTTCTTGCAAACGTGACCTGCGGCCTGCAACTACCCCGTGAGTTGACTGTCTTCTAGATCAGCCAGACTTTTTTGTGTAATTATGTTATCACCACAATTCATTATTGTTATCATTACAATCAAATTGAAATTATTTTTATTCAGTTTAAAATAGTTTAATAGCTATTGTCTTTCTAATTATTGCTTAATCTTCTTCTAAAAAACAATAAAAAAATTTATTCGCTAAAGATTTCTGTGATTCTTTCTTTACTTCTTTAAAATTGCTCCAAATTTGAGTTGGAGCCTTTAATGATATTAAAAGTAATTCAGAAAATAAGAATTGCTTAAGGCTAGAGTATTATTTCCCCGATGATTTAACGCATTGTGTCAAGCTTCTTGAATAATACATAAGCGACTCTGTGCATTATCTTGGCACAATACTTTTATGTTACAGACAAATTATACTTTATCCCTGGTTGAGGCATGAAGAAATTTATGAGAATTATTTCACGCCTTATCTCTTCTAAAGCCACGTCAATATTAATTGGGCCGTCGTTTATTGCAATTTACAATTTTCATTAAGTTTATAATGCACATATGTTGGAGTGTCCCATACATTAGCTATACTAGAAAATAGGCTTTTTTCGTCGAATTAATATTCACATACCACGCTAAAACTGACAAGCAAATTTGGCGAAAACTGAACTGAAAATATTGGCTGTGGAACTTAAAAGAAATAAAAAAATTTTAATCACAAGCCAGAATTCCGAAGTTTTTTTTATGAAAAAACTTTCAAAAATTATCAGGACTTTGGGATGATCCAGGAATCGGGCGAAACCGAATTCTGAGGTCACGTCCAAAGATTGGGATGTTTGCTTGATGAAACGTGCAACCATCCTCTGCAAGCAAATAAATACCTGACCCATGATTATTTCTCTGTTTTTTGTTGGGGCTTTTGCTTGGAGCAAATTAGGGGATTCACAAATAAAATTAAATGGAATATAACTTATCCTGCCTTTTTGTGCAGACAAAAAAGAAAAAATATCACTGCTAAATTTCCAATTGAACTTGATTTGTACTCAATATTAAATGAAATAAAATTTCGTAAAAAGTTTAATTTCCAAATTGAACATTCTACAATGAAAATTTACTACTAACTATGTAGGGACGGTGAATTGAATTGTTTGCAAGAATAACGGCTTAACGACGAATACAAACTTTGATGAATAAAATCAAATATAATTCAAAAACCTCAAAATTTATAATAATTTTCAGGTAATAAAGGTTTAACCCCTCATATTTGCTTACATGAAATAGTTATGTATGGTTGAGTGTTTGAAAATATTAACTGTAGGTTTGTCAACAGTATCAACATCATTTTTCTATTTACGCCCACCGAGACTCAGCTGTTGGAAGGCAATGCGCTGGACAATTGAATTTCAGCAGAAATGGTTTGAAAACTCGCTCCAGAGTTTCGCAGAAGCTTCTCTGAAACAAATCGCATTTCCAATGTTTCACTGCAACATTTTAGTTTCTTCACGTAAGAGTACACAACACGTAACAAATGAAAAAAAATATCAAAGAAAAAAAAACGTTTCCTCGTGAATGTCCATAAAGCTAAATAGCTTCGAGGGTGACAATTGGACAGGCGAGAAAGGCGGTGCATGACTTTTTAAATGATAATGGGATAATGACAAGAAAAAACATAACGTTAAACTATACATCCTATTATTCTAGCTACCCATAAAACTTCTGACACTTGGTGACCGAAAAATAAACTTAATTTTTTTAAATAAACTTAATTTTAAACTTGTAATTTTTACGCATCATCCTTTTCTTAAGATTTTCGCCTGCCAATATAATATACCAAATTGATTATCAGATATAAATGAAAATTTGTCAAGTAAATTCGCAATTCTATAAAATAGAATTTTCATCGGCATTTTCTGTAAATATTATCTCCGCAAGATAATATTTGCATTTTAGTTATGATTTCATAATTTAATTCAAGTGCCATTTTAGAAATAACCTATGAGTTTCTGGTGCTTAAGTATGACAATAAAGCCGGTGTAAACGGCCAGCTGTGATAATTTTTCAGGGATCGGAATCTATTATAGGCTAGTCTATCTTGAACATGAAAATCATTAAAGAAATGTTCTATTGTTTTTTCTTTTCACCGTTAAGTAGTTTTTCCTTTTCGCTGAGGATGAGGAACTAGAAAGCTTGCCAAGTTTATTTTTAATTTCACAGATGTCCGGAGTTGAATCATGAACAATCTACTGTCGTCTCCTAAATTCAAGTCAGACTTTTTCGACCGTCTCCTTCAATTTTGGAAAAATGTATCTATTTTAATCCTCGTGTTATGTATATCAATAAACAACCAAAAAATATTAAACACCGTAAAAAATGTCATGCTGGAATTCGACTTCTAAAGCCTTGGATCAAGCTATTCATTGGATCGCGGATCTGTTTGGTAAGCTTATTCAGCTCAAGTTATGTGCTGGCTGGAGTTTTTTGATGCGGTCGTTGGCAGGCAATTGGTTTCGTAGTCGTTGGACCAGTTCGAAACGGCCGCGACGAGACCGTAAATCAGCTCACTGCATGAAGCTCAACACATAACAGCTATTCTGCTTCTTGAGGAGAGGCTAAATGGAGGCTCGAGACTGTCCCGAAATGATCTGTCCAAACCTCACCAAACGGCTTACTGGAACTAGGCTGCCAGGACTACCCAACACAGAGAAGAAGAAAGAATTACGATTGAAATTGAAGATATATCAAATGCAAAATCACTAAAATGGCTTTCAGATCCTCCAGTTGTACAGATGGACGCTATAAAACGGTTGGGGATATATTTTACCTATGAAAAGGCTTTTGTGGAATTAGGAAACCTGGCTCAAAAGCTTGAAAAACGTATATGCAAGAAAGCTCTGAAAGTAAAAATATTATCGATTGAGTTCACACTTAACCCTTTTCAGCTCAGTGGTACATATATGGTACATTAAACAGCATGATGTAATATTGCATCTTACATCGCTCTTGCTTGAGACAAGCCTGAACAAGTGTCCTGGAAATGCACACCAAACCTGCTACAACATGTTCATATGAGTACAACCCCTTAAGCCTGCCAGTTTGTGCTCTGCTGTCACGTTGAAAAGAAGAGTCGCTGTGCTCTGCCAAAAATAATGGCTTCCAGGGGAAAGTAAGTATATTTTGCACATTACTTTGATAACTAGGTTCTTTTGGTAACTGCATATGTTGAACAAGTAATAAACTGACCTCTACAGTCAACTCTTACATTTGTCTAATGCATTATTTTTTCTGGATATTATTTTATATTTGCTGTGCCATATATGGTTCGCTGAGCTAATGCAGGTACATTTTTTCTGAGTACACATATTTCATGAATATTGAATTTCTAGCATGTTCTAAGTCCATTTTATGTTTCATATTTCAGATTCCTGACTATGCATGAGATATTAGGTATATTAGAAGAAGATGAGAGCCATGCAGAGGTTTATATTGAGCCTAATGATCCCGGCCTATTGACTGATGAAGACTCTGCTGATGAAGTGGATAGTGATAGTGGATTGATAGATAATTTGTCCAGCAGACAACTGACTGGTAATGCTGAAGCTGTATTCAGTGACGGATGACGTACGACTGAAGATGATTGTGAAGATCAACTGAGTGGCAATGATGAAGCTTTCTTCCACGACGAACGTATAGTACTACTGAAGATGATGGTGAGGCTCATAATTCTTCGCCTATCAATAACTATAAGACTCCAAAATGTAGTCATGGCACTTCACTCACACCTGGTGACCGCATATTTTCTGAGGCAAATTATGCAAAATATGGAGATTTTACTCCAGTTGAACTTTTTGAACTATTTTTTGATGATGATGTGTGGAATTTGCTAGTGGATCAGACAATTGTCTATGCAACTTTCAAAGGTAAAACAGATTTCTTGGTAAGCAAAGATGAAATGGAAGTGTTCCTTGGAATTTTGATAGTGTCTGGTATCGTTCCTTTATCTTCTCGGAGGATGTTTTTGAGAAATTTATCTGTGACAAGAAATGAAGCTGTCTCTCAGGCTATGAGAAGAAGAAGCTTTGAAAGGAGCTGGGAGGCCGCCATCCTACTAAACAAAGGGTGACGACAAACGAGTGTTAGATGATATTCGTTTTGATGGAATAAAACATTATTTTGTAGAAGCACAAGACAACAAAAGAAGGATGTAAGAAGGATGTGCTGGTGAAGAATGTAAGATAAGACCTTTCGTTCAGTGTTGCAAATGTAATGCAGGTCTCTGCTTGGCATGTAATCTTCCATTCCATACCAAATAATGATATGTTCTGAGTATTTACATTCTGATCAATATCTCGCTTTCTACCTTTTACATGTAAGTCCAACATAAAGAAAGTATTATGTATTTGAACATAATTTGATACTTGAAATAATGTGTTTGAACACAATGAAACGCTAATTAGAAAATTTGTAGTTCACACGATGGATCAAATATTTGTTTTAGTTTCGCCATTTTACAGTATTTGGAATAATATTGCAAAAAATATTGAAGACGTTATGTTTTATTTTTAATTTTAAATTTGTAATATCCTAAAACTGTAATATAACATGTCAATTTACAAATATATAAATAAGTGCATTTCAGACACGGTTGTTTTTTCTTTCAACAAAAAAAAATGTACTTGCATATGCTCAGTGGTACATATATGGCACATCGTATTCTAGCAATACTATTGTAGAGAAAAGCAAACTGAGACGTTTTCCTAATCAATTAGGTAGAGCCAACAGCAAAAATTTGATAAAAAATGAAATTTCAAGAAAAAAAATAATTGGGGCTGAAAAGGGTTAATTTTGACTTTGTAAGTAGACTTCGAGTAAACGCACGGTCCTAGATTTTACGCAATAATAAAGATATATAGGATATTTTGAGTCTAGTTTTGCTTACATAGAATTAAAACAACCGTGGACGATGGTGAAAAATAGCGCAGCTTTGTTTACTCTCATTTAACAGCTATACGGCCATCCTTGATTCTATTTGACAAGTGTGTCATCGGTGTCAAGTCTTTGTTCACAGTGGACATGCATTTTGGCAATACAAGCAGATTTATGTGATTGATTTTCATCAGAGACAAAGAGATAGGACATACAACGTAATTAAGTTGATGACAATGGCTAGAAATCGCTCGATGTTTTCGTTTACGGTGAAACAGAAATTAACCAAACCCGTTTTTGCTGCTAGAGATTAATGAGCGAGTTCCCTCTCTGTTGAGCTAAAAATCTTATATTTTTTACGTGCCAGAAAGATATTTTTTTCCTTTTTCTCATCCAATAAGAAATAAGGAAATGCATGGGAAGGATGTGTTATTTGACAGATGAGTTCAATTATATAATTAATTAAAATTAATTAAGCTTCTAGCGTTTATTACATCGTTTAAAAATGTAAGTATATATATGTAATTAACTTTTTTCCATGCCAGCAAAGTTTAGAATTTATTTCTAAAATTTGATTGTGAATTATTTCTATCGCATTGAATTACGAAACTTGCACCGATATATTTCTGGTATATAGTACCTAACTGTTGTCTTCATGTGCTTTCTTAGACGAAGGAATAAATAAAACATGATGGGACAAAATTTTTTGACTACTTTACAAACGAGCCTCTTTATACATAGCTCTCGAAGAGCAATGGTAGAACGAATTGCGTAATATTTCACAGAAGCCAACAAAAATTTACTTCTTTATCAGACCAGCTTGCGCCGAAAAGAAGGAAATGTTACGAGTTTCTGGTCATCAAACTAAAGTAAGGGGCGCGTTAAGTGTCCAAGTATACGGTTTGCCGTAGTTTAATGCCAATGGCAATGTAGGTCCCACTGCCTCATTAAAAACATCACAGCTTCATCTTTTACTTACTTTTTTTGGCTCGTAGCTCAGCTTGGTCTGGCGTGAAAAGACGTAAAAGCTTAAAATTGTCTTGAAAATTCAACTCGGTTGAATTCTCAAAGAGAAGCTCGATTCGGAAGAAGGGACCATGTTTAGCATTCGATGCTTTACCAGATTTTCACCATAAACTGTAGGATTTGATGTTTCCTGAGTACCCTCTGATAAAAACAATTAAATAGAGAAAATTTGCGCCGTTATTTTCGCTTAAGTTCGATGCTTCTAGCATCATGTTGTAAATTTCTGCCTTTAAAGTATTGTTTTAGTTTCTTTGAATTGGTGTTTTTAATTATTTTCTTCGACTAGCATCGTGATTTGTGCACTGGATGACGCAACAAAGCCGAAATTCTGACGTCAGTAGAAGTTCTTGGCAGCTGAAATAGAGAAGTGTCTGCTCATCCATCAGGGCTGTAAACAAGGCCTTCCAGGGCCAGTCATCTCCCACTGAATGCTTCCTGACCTTATAGGCTCCTGCTTGGATGTCGATCTTGAGCTTGATTTACTTGCTCGAAATCAAGACATAAATGAAGAAGAAAAATCCCATTTGGACGGCAACACTGATATTTATGTCCATGTTTTATGTTCCCAACCAGTTTCTCTCGCAAGAGTTTGTCCAGATGAACTTGTCCAAGATTTATGACTGATAAAAAAGCAATAAATAATTTATGCTTGCATCACTAAAATTAAATCATTATAATTTATTTTTGGCACATTCCTCTTAGTTCTTAATCCATTACTCACTAATACTCATTGGTATGTTTGATATTTATAATAGAGCATAGTAATAAGCTCCGGTTTTATATTAGATTTAAGAAGTTCGCATTGCCGATGAATCTGTCCCTTCATAAATAAATTGTTACTGCCTCCATTTCCCAAAGCTTCAAGCAAACTTTCCCAAAACAGTTATCTTAAGATTCGAATGCCAAGGACGCGATGGCCTCAGGTCGTAACCCTTGGCACATAGAGGCAAGTAGACCTTGAATAAAATAAAAAAATATTTGTCCCTAACTACGAGGAATAAATTCGGAATTATGTTGAAAATAAACTGTCCAAAAAATAAATCGTAAGAGGTTACATAAAAACTTGTACGCATTATTTTTTAAACCTTGTTATCATGCAACTTTGTATGTAGCGACATACATATAATGACGAAAGGTATAATCATAGGCATGATGACCAATCTCGGAAGATTTCCATTTAACTATGAAAATTTTCTTAAACAATGCTAATAGTCCGCATAATTGCACAGCCATGATAAGTCTACTTAGAACGATTGCGGATCCAACAAATTAGGGTAACTGATAACAACAATGCCCACCGTAGTACAATTACGTTTTACCCCAAGCTCTTGCTACCACACCCAGACTAAGGGTAGGATAGCGAGCTACATTAACGGCTTGCAGCGCATGAGGTTATCTTTTCATGAGCTGGCAGCTGCCTCCTCCCTCGCGCTCTCGTACTGGCAGCGTTCCAGCAGCAGATGACATTGGGAACACACGTCTTGTTTCCCCCAGGCTTCTGAACATTGCTGCCAATACATGAAGCTGCAAGTTTATTGGGAGTGTTAAATATTCTTACGATCCATTCCTTTCCTAATATTTTCATACAAATTATTCTCCATTCATTTTTAACGGAGCATTGTCTATAATTTTGGCATTTCAATATAAATGTTTTCTACATTGGATCATGGAGAAAACATGATAAAATAATGTTTCGCCGTGGAAAAATAAATGGATGTTCGATCAACGAATTTCTGACTGATGAATATTTAGCTGGAACGTCTTTTAGTTAAAATCAGCTGTCATTCTCGATGAAGTGAATTTTATATGTATGTGCTGATACATGTGGAATGAATTGAAAAAACTTCTAAATAATTGAATGAGAAAATTATTCGCAGCTTGGGATGAAAAATACACTACCTCCGCCCTCTCCTGTCAAAAAAGGTCTGCCTAAATTTTGCTCTCATTATGGCGCAGCCGATGTTTAAGCGCCCTCTTGACTGACTAAGAAAATAATTGTTCTCACAATTGTTTCAGATTCATAATTTAGATGCTGTCTGTGCTTTATAGTGTTTTTAATTGCAAGTGATGTGCCTCTCGCCTCACCGAATTTCCTGAAGCCTCTTGAGGTGATGGAAATTGAAGATTTTCAATCCGTCAATTTATTGAATGCAATTTATATAATGGTCTAACATTCTAGGCTTGAAAGGCTCTTCACAATGTCTGGAAATCATGCAAATTTATGAATGGTCTGAAATTTTTGCTTGAAATATTATTATTTGGCGTTTGACTCGCAACAGACGCGGCAAAAAATCATGGTTTTGGATGAAAGATTCGATCTTTTTACGGAAAAAATATATTTGTAGTCAAATGTATTTATGATAAGCTTATATGTTCCAAATTTGATGTTTGTTAACAAGCTATTAATTCATATTACTAACTCCAAATGGAACTATATTTACTTTATCTATTTATCAACAATTAAAATAATTTACATGGTGAGTGTAGTATAATTTAATTTATAGGTGATTAAAAAATTTGATGGCGTACCTTAATATATATCAAGCAGAACAAAATGTCAAAGCAAATATTAAAGGGCCTTAAAATTTTTGAAATTCTAAAAATCAACCAATTTCAGTATACTGAGAGAAAAAATGTAAAAAGTGAAAATAAACGTATTTAACTTAACATTTTACTTTAAGTGCTGGACCTGAGTCTAAGCAAAATTATTGACATGACTAGAGAAACCCACAAGAAGATTGTTGCGACCAATGATCACGCCTTAACCTATTGTAATCTCCTATTTTACCTGGCCATTACTTACATTGATTTGCGGTCCCTAATCTGATCTTGCTCAGGTTGATGTTTGCTTCGGAGAACACAAAGCCAGACAGCTGTGGGAAATTGGCTTGCGCAAGACTTGAAAAAGTCTCATTCATCTCAATTCCGCGCTCCAATAATTAGATAATCGTGGAAGCCAGGACTCAGGGACGCAAGTTGCACTCCTAACGAATCATCGGCAAGTCAATAGGGAGGATACAAAGAATTGATTCAAGGTTTGTTTCAGCTAATGAATAGTAATGCAATGGAAAGAACAAGAATAATACCATTCGATGGCTGCAATTTCCTACCTCAGGCCACGTGCAAATTTCTCGGCCAAAATAAAGCTGGCTTCAAATATCATCAATGTAACTCTGCGGGTGCATTCACGCGCGGGACTCACTATTATGATATATGTCTGTAAATTAACTGAAACGAACATTATTGAACATTTTATAGCAGTAGGCAGACAATGTTTCTGAGCAAATCCATGAATTGTCAGCTGCATTCACCAAATGTAGGCCTCATTTTTTTTCTAAAAAATCCGATGCACTTGAGTAAGAAAGATTAGAAATCTTACTTTGAGGTGTTTAAACCAATTGCTGAAGAGCGCAAAATTTATATGCAATGGCACTCGATTTATATGCAATGGCTCAAGGCACTCACTTGCATAACGACATTTTTCAATTTTACTTTGTGGTGTTTAACACACAACAGAAGTCCGCAAATTTAAACACAACGCTATAAAATTATTTGACCATCACAAAGCCATACTGAGGCGGGCCCAATTTTTTTTATTCTTCTAGCTCATCTGAGTGAGTGCTTGGCAGAGAGCTTCCATAATGCAGTTCACAATAAATTCCTTAGAGGGAAGCGAAAGATGTGATTCCGTGCTTTATCAGTTTATCAAACAGAACTAGGCGCAGTGAGATTTATCGCTCTAAACCAACAGTAAACGGAAAAACGAAAAAAGTTAAATTAGAAATAAATCTAACGTCAGGTGCAGGATCGAATTATTACATAATTAAATGGACATTAATATTTCTATTGTATTGCAGAATATTGAGCCTACTGCCGTTCGTACACTTCACGGGTTCGCACGGAACCAGCACTTCATTGCGGTCGTCTGAAAACAAGATGACGACTATGAGCTTGAGATTAACGTTTCTGCTCGCAGTCCTCGCTTGTCATGACGTTCTAACTGCTCCTGCAGCGGAATCAAACCGCTCCTCTGCCCTTGCCATCTCCGAGGTATGAAGAAAAAATTTTTTCATCGCTTCACAATTCTTATTCCACACATCACATTGTCCACAGGCCCACAGGCCCTGTGAGGATGTATCAACACACGGCAGAATCACAACATAAAAAACAGAAGCCAAATGCAAAGTTGGGCACATTTATTATTATTCAGCTTGACTACTGACTGGAGCCTAAATGCAGATGCACATAAAATACATTTGGTTGCATTATTTGAGTATTAAATGATAACGAGTTTAATGTACCAATGCAAACATGAAGGTAACATTTTTAAATACAGATTTTTGATACCATTGCCAGGGTATCGACCAATCCATCAATCACTTTTCGTCTCATCCGAACCAAAAATTTTCTAATATTAACATTTTCACCCTAGTTATAACATAAAATCGTTCACAATTCCAGCATATTTTGTTAAAGTAAGGACAATTTTGCCGCTGTAATTATTTATTTACTTCAAGTAATTTCCGTCAGAATTAGCAAGGTATGGTTTACTTGTCCTAAAGTATAATAAATAATTCGATAATATTCTCGAAAATAAATATTGTTAGCTGAAATGGGTTGTATATCGTTGCTAAATGATTGATTGAATCTTCAACATTTAGCGAAGTGAGTGATAATTGGTTTGAATAATGATGTAATTTTCCTTTGTGTGTGTCATCCCAACAAAGTTTTTCCGGCAAAGGGCGTAACAAGGCCACCATGCAGATGGTGTGGCAATATTTTGACATTATGACCCATTCAGTTTTTTGAGTGAGCTATATACGTGGGGGTATGTGAGAATTTGGCATACACTTTGAAAAATTCGAAATTGTTCTAAAATAATTTATTTGCCTTTCGTAATCGTGTTTAAATAAATTCAAATCGAAGCATTTATAAGTCAAAACTTATTGATTTGAAGGTAAACAAAGACGATTGTAATCAAACCAAAATATCGAGGCTAAACTATACAATATTTTTTTGTGTATTTATGAAGACTATCTGAATTTGCAAATACTAAATTTCGTCAAATTAATCGGTATTTTCGATGAAATTGTGATTATCCGGGGGTTTATTAGCAATTTTAAGGTAATTAACCTAATTTCAATCAACAAATTCGTTTGTTGACTACACAACACTCGTGCATGCGCACGTACCTGCATTAGGCTTTGTCACACAAATTGTAGGAACGAAGCTCATACTTTATTGCAAGTTGACATGAAGTTGTCATGAAAACTCGGATTAACTATGTCCGATGACTAATTCAGGAGATGTATTAGGTCTTACTTCTATACATCATGCAGTTGCACCAATGATACTTCAAAGCTCCCAGAACTTCGTGACTATTAATGAAAGTTCTCAGAGGGCACAATCTCATTTGTAATTATTTCGGAGCTCGCCAGAAACAGTTACAAAAATCGAGAAAAGACTTTGTTTCTTAATATTCTTCTCATTTCATCAATTGATTCTGTGAGTAAACTTAAGATCCTCAAAATATTTTTTTTCAGAAAGGAGACGTAGGAGATTTCGGCCATGGCCGCGTGTTGTGGGTGCCTACTGACGACAGCTCGCAGCGCTATTTCCAGGACAGAACAACAACAGGCCAAGAAGTCGCGCTTGGAGAGGATATGAATGCTTCCAGAAGACCTCACCATGTAATGGAAACGTCAAAAGAAGAGGATCCAAAAATCCGTAGTGTAAAGAAGCGGTCAATCAAGAGCATTTCAACTTGGGGGTCCAACCCTTACTTTTTGGGCAAACGCTACAATAGAGCTTTTTGGACAGCAAGGGGTAAGAAAAACGCAAGAGACGTAGCGTTGAGCTCTCCAGAAATTGAAAGTAATCATCCATATTATGACACTCAGGATAATCCTACGTATGGTTCGTCTGGAGATTTCTACTCCCATCCTTCGAAAGAGTTCGTTGATGGAGAAGACATTGTGGGACTCGAAGGGTGGAATGATTTGAGTGAAGCGATCCGAAAAATGAATATGATACCCGTCACGGACAAACGCCGAAGTGGCTTGTTTTGGGCAGCTCGGGGAAAACGACAAAACGAAGATGCACCCGACGAATATGACTTCGAAGCCAATAACGAAAAACGCTATATCAAGGAACTCAATCCTAAAATGCATCAAGCATTTGCAAAATTCCAATCCGGTGACAATCCTCAGTTTTGGATGAGTCGCGGAAGGCGATTTTGGGCTGCTAGAGGGAAAAAAACCGTGGATCCTTCGACCTTCAACCGCCTAGCGAGGTTGGTGAATTCAGGAAATGCAGACAACTATTATGATCTCGAACCAACTGGGGAGAGCGAACATACACCAGAACCTCAGTGGGGCTATGGGGATTGGTCTGATTCGGAACTATCCGGACCGCCAATCTTTTGGGCTGTTCGAGGAAAGAAGTCCAGCGTTGCGATGTTTGACGATATGAATTCTCCCAGCGACCCGTCAAAGCAGGAAGCTTTTCAGAACAGTGAGATGGAGAAAAAATCTACGAACCAGTTTGCTTCAGCACTCTCGCATTTGAGGAGCAGGGGATTCGAAACGCCAAACTTTTGGGCCAATCGAGGGAGGAAGAACTTCTGGGCTGCACGTGGGAAGAGGGATCTGTCTCTTAACGACGGCAAATTTTAGTACTCTGAGTTGCTTCTGCCTGTACGCCACTGATAGTTGCATTGAAGTTTGGGCTTTCCACTTATTTTAAATTAATTGTTTTAAATTGTTAATTGCTTATTCAAACCTACAAATGAGTGGCGCCGACTAACCTAAACTTTTATTAAATATTAATCAAATGGCGATGTGCACAACTATGCAGATTAGAGTGAGCTACTAAAGAGCTCAGAAAATTCGAGTGAGTTAACGTTTGGAAGTCGATCTAGGAAGAAATTTGTCAGATGCAATAATCGATCTTGTCTTCATTGTTGTCCTCACTGCTACCGCCCATCTGGAATCTTCATCAATATCCCCGATGTGCGCTTTGTAATCTACATCAATTATGGCCCGTTCCTCCCATTTTTTTGTTCTTCAACGATACGATTTAAAAGGTGTTTGATAATTTAATCTGTGTATACTTAAACTCATTTTCGTGCAAAAATGTCGAGAGTATCATAATTCCTGTACCAATAGAGCATTATAAATAGACAAACTAAAACGTATTTTAGTATTTGTTGATATTTGTGACAACAGTTGTGCGTGGAAATCTATTACGCATCTTGAAAACAATATGTGTAATAGAGTTCTGTAAGGACGTTACGAACCTGTTACATCTATGGATAGGCAAACACCGATACAGACACACTTTCTTCGCAATGATTTCCAATTTCAATTTTGGCGTTTTCATATGAAACGTGAAGTAGTCGTGTGAATAATATATAAAATGAATTAGAAATTTTAACATATCGCCAATTAACGTTGACTCCAGGGTTAGTATCGTTTCAAGAAACTTATTCAGTGAAAAATACGCACGAGATATATTGGATGCGATTTGAGACTTAACTCCGATAAAAATAATTTTGTCTAAATAATAACATTCACCAATTTCTCTTCGTGTCAGAGGAAGGTTAAACAATCGTGAACGAGTTGATAATTAAGCCCGGCGGGCCTTTCAAGTTCTACACTCCACAGTAAAAAAATTAATATAAATAAAACTGAATTAGAACTCATTGTAAAATACAGTAAACAGTATTTTATGTTTTCAGCGCGTTTTTATTAGCTGTTTGGTATTACATCATTAGAGCCGTATAATGAAATAACACTTGATGCAGTTTCCATTCTTTCCTTATCCCGCTTTAAGTACTCGTATAGAACACTGGCATATAAAAGGCACTCTCTGCGTTCTTCTCTTGTTTGCACCGATGATTGAAAAAAATAATACACAAAGATGTGTTGTTACAAGGATATTGAGTAGTTCCCATAAGATTTCACAAGATCGTTTATTATTTTCCCATACGAGAAATTTGATGCTTCATGGCAAAGAAAGGTTTCATCTATCAGTCAAGTCTTTGTTCGCCTGCAATAATTGCTATTTCCATCACACTTTTTGTTGGAAAATTCTTCAACGTGTCACACGTGAAGTGCGACGAAAATGAAGTAGTGCTCGTCTTGGTATAAACTCAACTCGCAGTTCACGGTTCCGAACATTAAATAACTCGTTTTCCGTTTCAGTTCACTTTGTCCGACGCTCCTTAACTTTCTGCTTATTTATTATTCCATTTATTTGACGTGTTATTCATTGTGTTATGAACGGAATTTTAATCGTGGCTTTTTGTTACGTGGTGCATGTTTTTTTCACCTGTGGATGAGGAATCTTAAGACACACTAGCTGTACTAAATGACAATTTTCCAGAAGGACAAGGAATATTAAATTATTAATATTCCTTAATATTCCTATTAAATTATAAATATTCCAATATTATTTGCTATTAAATTTATTTAAATTAAATAAATATGCACAGGTAATGTTCTTACGAGTTTCAAATTCTCAATTTTGTGCTGCTATTTGATTGAAAATAGTTTGAATAGCTCTTTTATTTTAATCTTTACTCAATTAAATGATTAACGCGTTTCAATTAAAGCTAATGTGATTAGCTGGTTATTGGTAATTGACCATCCTCAAAGTGACCTTAGCACTACCTAGACTTTCTTTATTTTAACCTCAAACTAAAAAAATGTGGAAGCATGTTCTTAAATATTCACAACAAAAGTGACGTTTAACCGATCTAAAAATAGAATTAGCTATGGAGCGCGTCTCTAGCAGCACGGATGTGCATTTGTTTCAAATTAAAACGACGAGCCCTGTAATTAAAAATGTTCCAGATCAAGAGCTATGGTAACATTTTACATGAATAAATTATTTTCAAATACTGTATTGATGATACAGCACGTGGTCGTTGTCGCCCTGTTTACGATCGAAAGGACTCTCTCTACTCGCCGCGAACAACGAGTGTCTACTTTGATCTTAATTACTTGGCGTCGAGAATTTAGAATCGCTTGTGTCAAGTATTGATACATAAACGTTATCTTACAATTTCGCATTTTATAAATTTCGTGCATGTATTTCAGGCGTCATGCGCCCTTGAAAAGTAGTGAAATCAGTCATAAACTTCCGATGATTGTTGTTGCATATTGGCTTGTGCGTCGAGATTCCGTCAGAGGGTTGCTCCTCAAGCCAAATATAATCTTTGCTGTATATCTTTAAGACAATGATGATCTTTGCAGCATAATTTGTAATTTAATTTAAATATAATTTTATATTTTTAATTCTACAGATTCTGATTGTTTTCAATCGCTATGATTGTGCGTCTTATTGCGTTAGATCGAACATTATATACGAAATTCTCACGCCATTTTGAATCGTCCTTGCAAAGTCACTAGTTTTTAATTTAATTTATTTTGATTTGTTTCCAATTCTCGCCGTAAATGATACAAGAACTTTTCCATTATTTACACTGTGTATCAAAGGGCGCAGCATATCGGCGAAAAAAGGCCATGAATTAGAATTTGTTGGATCAATAGTGTATGAATCGAAATGAAGAGAAAAATCAGTTTGAAATGAAAAAGAATTAGCTTGAAATTAGCTGAAACTTAAGGCAAAGCATTAGGTTCCTGGTGCCCTAACAAATCCTCAAAACGGTAAAAAAAATTTGGCTAATATATCTATACCTACAGAATTCAGCCTTGTAGGCATTTTGCCGACAGCGCAGCTGACTATCTGCTTTGACGTCTCAGTTAGATTCATTGTAAAAGAAAATTTTTGAAAATTAATATATTCGTATTTTCCTCGTATTCTCGTTATCTACCTAATGACCTGCTGAGTTTTGGCATTTTTGCATAAAAGAAATCCATTGAAAATACTGAGCTCGTTATGATATCGGGAACAGGCGTTGGTGTAGCCCTGCATGCTTTTCTTTGATGATAACTTTGGGCTCAACTTCCAAGTTGCTGTTCAATGCCTACGTCGGTTTCTTGCAATAGGACTTTTACTAGCCCTTTACCCAAGTTGATTCCCGCTGCATATTATAAATGGGGGCTAGGTATAGCCCATAGCTCTCCGCCCATGCACCGTGCTTTGTCCCACTGGCACCATGTGGGCACAAATGAGGACAAAGTGCGTGCAAATGATTTGATGCATTCAACGATCACGTAAAATGTGTATACGGGCTAACAATGCATTGAATATAAGGGAAAGAAATACGCGCTGTTTTTTCCAAAGTGAGCCTAACAAGAAATTTGCTCAAGCTTAAATAATCTCAACAAACGTCCGGACACGAATTATGTTTAAATATTTTTTTTTGTTTCGACTATTATTTCGGGTGAAAGATATTTTAATCATGAAAGAAATCCATAGAAATATACGTCTCAACATAGACAAGTTTGGAAAAATTAAGCTTTTAAAAGTTATGTCTTCCTCAATCATGAAGCGAGCGACTCGATCCCTTCCTCCATAACCGTAATAGAATAAAATATAGTTTAGAACTTATGCGTCGAGAATTTTCGAAGAGACAAGTTAGCAGGCTCATTCCATGGAATATATTGCCATTATTGCTCCTATATTGTGAAACCTTCTAGAAGACTATTGGTTGCCGCTGAAAGTCAATTATTGTTGCATGGAAAATTTAGGCCCTCTATTTTATGGAGTGCAAACACGCTGACCTGTGCATTCAGTCGATCAGTTGGACTCAAACAATTATACCTGAAAATTTTTGCATAATTCATAATGTGATGAATGAAAAAAATACACACGAGATTTTATTTATGTTTATTTGTTCTAATCTCACATTATATTTTCATCAACTATACTTGTTTGTCATAAATTACAATAAATTATTCTGAAAATGCAGTCACAGTATATTTCAACTGATAGATAACGACGAAATAGATATGTTAAAAACTGTCCATTTAGTGATACTTACGGACGACATCAATATGTATATATATAAATATGGATGTGGCTTGTTGATGCACAAAAAATCTATGTGGGTGCAAGTACAATTAAAAATAAACAACTTGCCAGATATGCATCGGCAGAATAGCAGATGTTGCAATTAATTTTAATTGTTCCATTGGAATTGTGCCCGCACTTCCAGGCAAATGCATCTTGACATTGCTCATTAAAAGGTCTGTACAGGCCGGGTTAGCTTGTCCAAAGCTTTGGAGAGAAATTGAGAAGTGCGGGGCATGAAGGCCAATATTTTAACGCATATTTCGGTATGAAATTTTCCTTCAAGTCTGATAAGCGGAGGAATAATACTGAGGGAAATTTGTGTTTACAAAAATTTCAATGTGGAGTAACTCGCAAAAAATTCTGAAAACAATATGTATGTACAGTTATGATCAATCTCCTGAGATATTAAGCAATAATCTACCATATTTTCAGGTAAATTAATCTGTTTCTTGTGACATGCAAACTATTGGGCAACGTATACTAGCTTACCTTAACAAGTAGCCTATTTTGCATTGGCCAATTCAGTAAAAAGTATCATAATGTCATGAATATTCGCATAATTTCATCTCTGAGCATTAATTGCAAAAAAAACTAAGTATTCTTTTCAAATCGAAAATATGAGCCTCATTAGTGTTCACAATTTACTTCTCTTAAGCTGTATTGTGATATTACTGTAAAAACAGCCATTTGTTTCGAATAAAAGTGAATGAAATAATTTAAATTGATATTTTCAAGAAATATGTTTCAAAGTTTGATGCTCGAGTGGCAAAATTCCAAAACCTGACCTATTATTTATGGAACGGGGATATCTTCATGGTTCTACCTCAATCAAAATACAAAAGCATTTACACAGCTTTTCAATAATAATTTTTCTTTTCTTTATTTTTAGAGGTCAAGAATATCGTGTATATCAAATCACTGCATAGTAAAGCCGTAATAGCCTAAGATTGAATACGATAGATTTTGTGACGTAAGTGAACTATTCTCTTGGCAGCCGAATTGGCTTCAACTGTTGAATAATTTATTCTGTGAATCTCTGCAATTATATTGCTAGAAAATCTGTAACTGATGCAGCGTATATACACTAGTGTGCCTGTTACATTTTCGGAGCGTCTGGTGATGATTGGAACAAATATGTAACGTAACTCTCTGCCTATTATCCTGTATTGATGTCGTGAGCTGCCTAGATGTGAACGTCTAGTGAGGGAAAGCTCTACCTAAATTTTTGGTGCTCAGAAATTCAAAAGAAGATATAATGAGAAAGGCGTAATATCACACGACGTTGTTATGTAATGTATTTTAATAGTCGATGACATTATTTGAATATCGGATTGGAATGGTGGTTGTGAAAGAAAACTTGGTATTCAATGTAAGTTGTTGAGATAAGCCGTAAAATTGTGAATATTTTGTTCACAGTGTACCGTGTGTAAGTAGTAAAAGTTATTAGAGAAGAAAATTATGTTTCGAAGGTTTTAGATAGTCGTATATTCTTAAAAAAACGCTATCTGGATACAGAAAAACGAGCAAACAAATTTTCTTGCATTAGCCAAAGCTGAGCTTTAATTTTCTCCCTAAAAACATGGTGATCTGTACATTTTATTTCAGTTTGAGCAAATTCGTCCAGGGAAAGGAGACGAATTTCCTTAAGCATCCAATAATTAAAATGCAAGATTTGATGGCGAAGCTCATCGGGTGAATACCTGAAAAAATGAAGAAAAAATTCTGGTCGCCTATAAAAGCCCATGCAAAGCCATGCGAGGCACCAGTGAACCCTAGAAGCCGGCGTCGAAAGGAGGTCTAGGTCCGTAGTCACACCTGTTGCGTACGGCACCCTAGCTGCTTTCCCGAGGATAACGTGAGTTTCATCGTCTTTTCAGGAGTAAAATTCAAGAATGCTAACATTCTTTAAAAAATCATCATTCCAGCAAAGAGAATACGGTTGTTTGAACCACGATGCAAAATTTGTTCATAAATATTTATGTAGAAATTTTCATTTCTAGCATTATGAAAGATACGCGATTTTGTAAAGGTCTGTGCGAATTTCAGCGAATTTCCAAATAAACGCCTGCACTTTTACTCTGCATCATGTAGCAAATAATAAATTATAACCGTAAGGCAAATATTGCATGCGAAGTGAACATTTTTTTATCTCAGTAAGCAGTGGAACACACTTCACCCGGGCAGTTACATGGTGGAGATATGCGTCTTCATCAGCAATTGAAAGTACACGACAAACAAATCAATATAATAGGGACAAAACAATCTTATTTCACACCAGGGCTGCGATATATAGTGGATTCAGGAAAAAGATTTTTTCTATGAAACTTTGTGATAGAAAAATGTCGATGTAGTATTAATTGTATCAATTAATCAATTAATAATTAATAAATTAATCAATTAATAAAAAAATTGGGCTTTAGTTACCGAAAATTAACAGGAATGCAATCCCGTCTCTTCAAAGAGCACATGACAGAAGCAAAGTATGAACATATTTTTTGCGTTTCCAGCCATAAGAATCTAAAGTTCAACTCACAAACAATTCTTTGCCCGGAAAACTATTTTTATTTATATGTCGAAGCTAAATTCTGAATATATAGGTGCAAAATGTGGCGCTCGTTCGAGTATAACTGCACTAAAAAGATATTGTGAAAACTTTTTCACTAAAAGTATTTTTATCTGAATGAGCAAATTTAAAATAAATAACATAAGGATACTTCCTGCCTGCCCGGTCTCGTCACTCACCTTCGTACATAGGAAAAAGTCATCGAATACACATTAGTTTGCATTGTATGATGAGGAAATATATATATATATATATATACGTATTTATTATTCTTAATAACGCTACTCTTGCACATTATAGTTCTCCGTATTGTAAAAGCCAAATGTGGTTTTTACTTTTACAAACATAATATTGAAATCAGTCTCAACTTGATCTCGCAACGAACTTACGGCTATACTAATTAAAAAAAAAAAAGTCAACTTCAATAATCGAGTCAAGCTTCATTTCTTTCTTGTACCGTATAATCTTAAACGCTGTCGAGCTTACGATAATATCAAATATTTGATGAGTCTCCTTTGAGCAAAAATCTACCTTCTGCAATTTTTTGACAAACGATTTTGTTGCATAAGGGAATATAGTAAAAAACACTGGAGTACAGTGGTACTTCCATGTTCTGTCCAAAAATAAAGCATTGGAATAATTCGATTATGTTCCCTCCAAAATTTTGTTTTTTAGAGTCAGGGATCAATTGAATCTGTGCTGTCTGTACACCAGCCCTGTCAGAGTTAAGTCTCGGTATTTTTCATTACTCATTTTAAAAGAAGTTGCATATGGGAATGGAGGAGAGGACCTCATTAATTACATGTCGGGGTCTCGATAATAAACATCGCTCAGTGCAAGGGTATCCATTATGCCTCCATGGCTCTTTGTTCTGGCCGTGATTAAGCGATGAGATGATGAGCGTCCTCTTCTTTCTATAGGGAGTAGAAAATTATCATTAAAATCTTGAAACATAATCAAACAAAAAAAGAATAAAGTTTAATTTTGCATTCGACTGAATGTGAGCCCAGCACAAAAATCGATGCGTGGATGTTGCAATAGCATATCAAACTTGAATCAGCATTATAACTTTGCAATAAAGTAATTTAATTCTCTCACATTACGTTCAAAAACGTTGTCAGACGCGACCATCGGACGTGATTACATTGAATTTTAAGAGGTGTATTTTGGAGAAATATCTACAACGTTTAGGTCTATGCAAAGTATTTCTAAATCTCTTGCCTGGTAAATTTGTTGAAGCTCGATGATCGCCGTAACACAATGAACTCCCATCAACTCTCTCAAGCCCACGTCTGAGTTTTCGTTTTTTCACCGAGCAATTAATTTACGGTAACTTTCAGTGATTTCAGACATGAACGTTCAGCGCACATCACTGATAGTAGTTTTAAACTAATGGATATGATCGGATCTTCGCGAGCAATGTTTGTCGAGGGAGGAGTTTCATGATGTACCATAATGTCGAAAGCGTACTCATTTCAACTTAGAAATTTGATGGCAAATGATGGACAGAGGAACCGTCAGTCCAAACTTGATTTATTACGTCGTAAACTCGTGTGTGAAAAAAACGTGAACTTCAAGCCTGGTAATAGAGAACTTGAGATTGCCGAAGATATTTTCGACGCTATCGATGACAGTTGAGCATATTCCAGTTATTGTCACCAATAAATAATGACAGGAATGAGATGGACGAAAAAAGTAGGTTGAGATAGCTAATTAACGTGTGAAGTGCTAGATTATCCATCTGTTTGTAGAATCTATGAATTTTTCGTAATGAAGGAAGCGATGCAAACAATTTGAAAATTTTATTCTGATTTAAGAACGGCTCTTACATATATACAATATTCTAAATAATTGCATATATTCGTAGGAATGCTACAGCTAGTGAAAGTTTTCGTTCACTATAGGTGGCAGAGAGGTTGGAACGACGAAGTAAACGACCATTATATGAGTCGATGGAAAGTTCACATAAAATATTCATGTATGGTTGACGATGGTAACAATTAATTTCTTTCTAAAATGAGATTGCTAACAGCTAAGCATATCTCTTTGAAGGTGCAAATGTGCGTTTTATAGAAATAGAGTCATGCTTGTCGCGAACATATCCTTCGCGAACACCCTAAGGTTGATGGCATAGAGATTTTAATACCTTCGTCGGTGTTTGCGGCCTTCGTAATTTCTATGCAACGAATATGACTATCGTAAATGTTCGGTCTCGTCATCATCCAATAACAATTTATAGAAAACTGCAAGAATGTGAGCCATTAGTTGAACAAGTATCTCTGCAAAATTCGACTCTGAACAAAGTAATATTTACGGGGCTCACTCCAGGAATTAACAGTGAAAATATTCTGGAGATAAATATTTTGATTCAACAATTTCATGATTTACAAATTGTAGTTTTATTATTGAGCAATGATTGCGTGGCATATCAAGATAAAAGGAATAAAAATAAATGAGGAAAACTTGCTTTTTACAAACGAGAGTTACCTCATGCACTACAGTAATGTGTTGTTGGATAAAATATATTTTTAAAATGTAATGTAGGTAGGCATAAAGTCGGATAAATGAAGCAAAATAATTTTATATTTTGACAAAAAAATTTCTCGGTGCCTGTGATGTTTTTTGCCTCCATGTATTCTGAAATTTTCAGTTTGGTTTTTGACATTAATAATTTTGCCCTTTCATAAAATGCGTTTCTAGAGCAGATGTAGCAAATTTTAAGCTTCGCTCGTTCCCTCAGACAATGAATTCAAGCTGAAAGAAATGCAATTAGTCGAACACGTGGCAGAAATCTGTGCTAATACATGCAGGCTGAAAGGGTCACGTGTGAAGCAGGGCTACCGAGTTGCCTTGAGTGTGGTTTTGGAAGCGTCATAAGCAGACGACCTTCATTTCGAAAGTCAAATTACCGCAGACGTGCCCTTGTGATCCATCTCTGAATAAAACTCTCTTCCTGACATTGATCGTTACATATTTACCGTAATGCAGTGGCCGAGCGTTAAAGAAAACCATTAACTGTTCATTGAAATACCCTTAGGGTCATTTAAATCGTGAATTTTAATTATGAACCAAATTGAATTGCCTGAATTCATGAATAGACTCAATCTATTCTAAGCGTGCTATGAATTACATCTGATTTTAACACCCTGCTGTAACGTGATAACCCAAAAAAGTTTCTGGTAGTGGTACCTACGTCCAGGCATCCACTGAAAAAGTTCTTCACTAAACAGACGATTTTTAACTGGGAAAATAATCGAAGGAGCTGGCGGCAATCTTGTACATTTATGAAGATCGACAGAAGATTACATTAATTAAGAAATAATTCAATAGCAGTAACACTAGACTCTCACGAAAAATTTCTACGAATGTGTCAGAATAAAGGTATACATTTTCACATTTAAACTGGACGTGTGACGAGTTAAAATTTAAACATTATAGTTAACGTGCTTATTCTGACTCTTATTGGAAAATGTATGCCTTACCATGCATGCTCTCAGTTTTTTAATTTAATGTAAATTCATGTTAGAAGATATTCATTTAAGAATTCAATTTTTCTGCATATTCAAAATAGCTGACGAGAAGCCAGCAGCCGCATCGAGATATCTCTGAGATAGAGGGACAGGCTCGAGCCCTGCTATTTGTCGCCTCTCGGCAATCAGAGCTGCCTCAGAACTCAGACTCGTCATTCCTGCGTCATCTGTCGAAACCTACGGTCGAGCGGCCCTCTTCTCACAGCATCTAGAAAATCCTAAATATTAACCGTGATGTAAAATAATTATTACGATTTAAAGGGATCATTTTTACCAATGCATCTTTAATCCATCTAGCTGTTCTAGCATATTAATACCTTCTGTTGTTTAAAAAATTATTGTGTTATTTTCATCAGTAACCATTTTCAAATACTTTACTGCCATGCAATTGGAATTAGTGCTTCTGATAAATCGGATTGACGAACATTCATTTATTGAAACCGTATATTGACTACCGGTTTCAGTGGTTGCGGTTGTCATGGTCAATGACGATTTACAGAGGCACTGAATATATGACTTCGGTCCTCCATTTATCTCCATTGAAACTACTATGCAAAAATGCTTGCTTTGGTACAGCAGCACACATCAGTCTCGAGAACATCGTAATTCGTAACACAGCAGCACCGAAAACACGTCATATACAGTATAGGGACGATAGTAACAGACAAGAACACGAATAACGGGCTCAGGGATATTAAGTCGCGGTACAATTTACTTCTTGATACCTTGTATTTAGGCATAACGGGTGATCTCTGTGCTAAAAGCGATCGTATCAGAAATATGTGTGGGTCGGTTTAATGAGTATTCGGTTCACACTAACACACTGAAACTCTCGCTCCTGAATTTATATCTAGTTCATATAGCTATATAAGCAAGACCATCAATAATTTAAAATCTAATGCGTCATTAAAGTAATGAAAGCACTGAGTAATTATTTCAAATCAGCATCGCTACTGCTAGGTTGCACGTCAATAAAAGCCTTGAAATAACTGATTGGACCGAAATGAGCTACACTCTAATCCACGTCTATAAATTAAGCTAAAAAAATAAGTAAATAAAGAAGCATAGCATCAATTATACATTTTGATGAATACTTTCCTTTTCTGGCTAGTCTTAGATTTTTTAATGAAGACCAGTGTTTGTTCCAGGTCAGTTAATAAAAATATATCGTTTATAAAGTCATTCATGCATCTCCTTCTTAATTATTTTAATATGATCTACACAAAGTAGTCAAATCTGCCCAAATCTTTCTCCCTTTAACACTGGAAAAGAACGTGTTAACATTCTCGCGTTACGAAATAATCTTTCAAACTCCTAATAAAGTTCCCATGAAGGTTTAATATAGCTGAAAGCTTTTATTTCAATCTGCTATGCCATTCCGAGTTTTACGTTACATCTTTTTCTTATTTACGAGCTTTACGAGCACCGAGGTTTTTAAATCACGTTTAAGGACCGCCCGCCAAACTCAGTCAAGTTCTGAGAAATAATCTCTAAGGAGGATTTATCTATAGAGTGCTTGGAAGTTGTTATCGTAGACCTGGAGGAAAATATCGTCGCAATTGCGGAGGTGTTCGCAAGATTGTTGTGCTTACGAATGGCGCCGGGCTGAGCGGCGGCGAGCATCACAGAAATGCAAGACGCCCCGACGGGAGCCGTGGCAATGAACGCATGTCTTGCCCGCCACTCTGGGGACGTCTGCGGCAATCTGATAGTTTTGCCGCGTTCGCTTTGCATGCAGACTGAGTTTCGGGGAGCTGGGCAAGTGGTTAGCACAAGACAAATCTGATGACAGGCCCTGGTTCGGAGATTACGGGTGTGATGTATTGCTCTTGCCAAAGCGATACGTATGGGAGCTTTGAATGGCAAGGGTGAGTCGAAATAAGGGCCATTTGTTATCCTAAACACAAACGGTGAAGGGATAAAAAATTATACGGTACTTTCAACTGAAAAAATTATACAGCACTTGTAAAACAAAATTCTGGAAGTGCTTATACGTTGCGTTCACATCATTATTCTTACGAATGATTTTAATTTTGCAACAGTTACACCAGTCTCTAATAGACGCAACATTAAAATTCATATAGACAGCGTATCTGAACGATATGGAATTGAAATGAAAGCTTATCCGAAAGACCGGATTCAAAAATTGTGGTAGCCCATTTGAGACCAAATGACATAAAAAGAGATGAGAATAATTACGATGACAGTCACTTCTTATGAAAGTAAATTTTGATACACGATTCTCTCATTAAATTTATTTATTTTCTATCGCAGATGAGGTTTTGCGGAGGCAGGTTTGCCTCATCGTCGTCCACTGTGTTGCTCTCAGCCTTCGTGCTGCTGTCATACATGAGCGCAGCCGTCACAGCTGGACCGACGACGAAGGTTAAATAATTATAAGTCTACGGAATTTATGTTCAATATTTGATTTACTCTGCTGTCGGTAATGGAACATTTTTTAATATATTAACAAATTATAATGAACCAACGAACATTCAAAATTAATAAGTTTGAACGCATGTAAAATGAAATAATAATACTAAATGTGATAGATTGGTATGGAGACCGGAAAACAGGAGACTAATATTCTCATTAAAATTCTAATCTAAATATTAATAAAAATAATAAATTAAAAATTCCAGGATAGCATAAGATGAATCATTTATCTCACATAACCCATATTAATCCAGACTGCAACAAAATTTATTGAAAAATACTTTAAATGCAGCCAAAAAATCGAAACTGCTTAAGTTATATTCATCACAGCAAACGGGAGCATTTTCAAATGAGTTGCTTATCTGTAGAGCTAATAAATGGGCGTCTTCGGGGTTACACCTCTTTGAAATTATTTTTTAAGTAGGAAGAGAATTAAAGGGATTTATTAAGGGAGCTTCAAGTAAATGTAACTTTTTTGTGAAAATGTTACAAAGTGCCCAACAGGCAACAACCATTCCCATGCAACGATTTTTACGTGTAAAAGCTTGTGCAGGAATATTTTTGGATATTATTCTTCGCGTGAAATGAAAAATAAGGTGAGCTTATTCAAAGGGTTGGTTTTGAATATTTTTTGACGTATTAAAAAAATTTCCATTGAAAACTATTTCAAAGGCTTTGCAACTTTTCCCTCATATTGACACAGATCTGTTTAACCTATAATCTCAGGGTAGACGAGTGGTTTCGATCGCATAAGTACCAAAGAGTTTAAGGTTAGAGACCCGCAGCTGGATCTTGAAATCTGACAGTCAATTGGCGACAGACCAAACAAAATGGCTATATTATTAGCTATTATAACGTTTATTGCTGATCAAATCATCACTTTATAACTAGATTATTCATTTCGAATTGACTTAAATTTTTACAAGTATAGCTTATAACAACGAATTTCGGAGAACATTAAAATTCGGCCATTTCTCAAGCTTATAATTTATGAGAACAAATCTGAAATATATAAAAAAAAATACAGTGGATTTATACTTAATGTGGATTAATTTGATTTTGCTTCCAAAATTCAATGCAAATGTTTCCCTCCTAGCACTAAATTACTATTTTTTCGACTTGCAATGAAAGCCAGTTGATTTACAGCGACAGTGGCAGAGACGTCCCGCGATGTTGTAAACTTTATTTACTTAGGCTTCGTTTGCTTGCAGATGACTGCAGCGGGTATCTTACCGCCCATGCCGTATCATCACGCATTAGCTGATGTCAGCCGAAGGCCTGGAGACACGGCGCCGGTTCTCAGACAGTTAGTGTCATGTTCTCAGTGAGGTTTTTATTTGTATTCTTGTGGAATAATTGAGCCCAATCCATACGTGATGTCGGGCAACGATTCGCTATTTCAACGGCCTTAGCCCTTTCTTTCGATTTAGGGCTTCTGGACCTTCAATGTAAACTTTTCAGATATTTTGCAACGTTGTTTGATATACAGCTGTAATTAGTTATTTTCCAAGACAGTCATTTTGCACTGCTAACATCAAAATGGTATAATTAAACTTGTGTGACTCGTGCTCCGAGAGTCAGGGCTCAATTTCTGTATACCTTAAGACATTGATAATAAACCGGAGTCTAGTCAAGTTAAAATGCCGTTTCATATGATGCAATTTCGAACGACTAATGAGTTGCACAGCTTCTCTTTTCGGTATCCTTGACTATTTGGGAAGTTAAAAATTTTTCAACATGAAAATTTATTCACGTGATTAATGTTGTCTTATTGCCAGATCTATCTCGAGAAATTGTAGTGAACTATTTTCAAGACAGCTTGAACTTCTACGATAAAATTTCGTGAACTGGGATAAAAGCAAAATTTTAGAATAATTCACGTTTTTGCAGAGTTTCCGAGTTGCCTCGGTGGTTCGTAATGCCTGAGAGCTACGAGCAGAGCAGTTTGGCGATCGGCAAACGACGAAGCTTCGGTGCCTGGTCAGGTGAGTAGCAACGATACCGATTATTAGCTATTTTAGGGCCTTGAGTTGATTCCGTTTTAATATGACATTCGTGATGCATCAATTAATTACAAAAAAATCAGAGAGTAATTTATAAAATGTAACGTAATAGCTTCGGATCTGATGAACGAATTACCAACCCAAAACGAAATAATAACAACTAAAACTAACAATACACTAAGGTCAATAACATGGATGGAATTATTTGAGCTTCTTATTTATCCGTCAGGTAAACGGGATTCGCAATCAGACCGTTACCTGAGTCTCGTAACGCGACTTCACTCGCTGCTGCAGGACAAAATCTCGCATCGTGACCTGAGCAACAAGCGTCAGCAGTTCAGCGCATGGGCTGGCAAGAGGTCTCCACTAGAAGCAGATCAGAACCAAGATTCACTTGCAGACCTGACACAGAAAACAGGTACAGATCAAAGCACGACACCGCCTCAAGCCATGCGCGGCTTTAACAGGCCTTGGAAGCGGACCAGCGAGAGCGAAGACGCTGGGTCTCAGTCGGACTTGCGTCGGCTCCTAAACTCCATCAGAGACGCGAATGTCGTCAGACGAGCCTTCAGTGCGTGGTCGGGCAAGCGCGGCTTCAGCGCCTGGGCCGGCAAGCGTTCAGATGACGGCATTCCAGAAAAACTAGAGCTATTTTAACAAGTTTTCCTATAATTCAGATACAAAGCTCCGTTATATTAGCAGTCCTAGGTACAATCTTTCTCCTAGGTGTCGTGCTTTCTTTTAGTTACTTTACGTGTAGCATTCACGTTTCACGGAAAATTGAAATTTAAGTTTCACGCGAGTGAACAACCCTTTCTGCTTAAACAGAATAATTATTTCAAGGATTTCGGTAAAGCAACTAGATTGAAGATTAGGTAGGTATGTCATTAAATTATCTCATTTTATTATGAAGAGTTCCGGAGTGCTGATCCAAAAAGTAAAGTAAAAACATATTAAATATATTTTTATTTGGTTTCTGAAATGGAAAAAAATGCATGTAATAATTTTTCCAGTTCCTTACGGGAACATCTACGTGCGCTGAGGTATAAGAAAACTATGACAGTTTCTTACCAAGTGACAACGAGAAAAAACCCCAAAGCCATAACATGATATTTTTGGCAGTAATTTCAGAGTAACTCACGAAAACATGGCTTAAGAACTAATTTTGATTATTTTTACAGTGATTAAAAAAAGTTGGTCAAATGAAGCTTTGGGTGTCGGATGTACACTATTCTAACACGGAATATTCGAGTAATTGAACAATGCGAAAACGCATAGACAAACTATGTATGTATAAGTTAATTACTAATGATCTGCGACTAAAAGAAATGCAAACGACATTGAGCTCGACAAGGAAATGGATATATGTGCAAAGTAAGCGCATTGAACTTTCCTTTACATAAAACTCAACGTGAAAGTTGAGGCACAGCAAATAATAAAAGAAATCAAACTTGTGTTTTTGTCATTTCTATTATTATTCATTTCATACGCCAAAATAGTTTCATTGACAACGAACAAAAAATAGCGTCAAACAATTTTGATTCATGAGTATAAAATAGGTGATTAAAGTTAAAAAATATTCCATAGACAAGATATAGTTATGACAAAAGTAGGATCTTAGTGACCATCAATTTGAATCTAAACAGTCGAGTTTAATCTTAATTTTGCATAATTTTACATTACAATCGTTCTTTGCGTTGGTACAATTTTAAATATGCAGCTGGAAAATTACCGGACTAGTGTTGAACAATAAACATGGTTTTAAACCCATAAATGTACCGTTCAAAGCAAGGGGCAGTTTACGAAAAGAAAACAATGTAGAGACTTAAGCATCCGCATCAATTGAGTGTATAATAATGATCAACAGTGCAGGCTTATTAATCCGTTGGATACAAGCAAGTGTGCTTGTGTGATGACCAAACTACATAACATTAATTTACGTTATCGTAAGACGCACAATGTAAGTGAACAAAACCTGTAAAATGTACACTTAATGTGATGGCAATGGAAAAAACAAGTGAATACTGAATATTAGAAATTGTGGATCATAAATCCCTACCAAATTGAAATTCAACGAGAGTCGAAAAAATAACCAAATATCACACCTAGTTTCTCAGTTTAATAAAGTGACATGCCTAAAAATTCACCTAATAACATGAAACGATTTTTTTAATGTTTGATTTACATTGAATTTAATCATGTTAACCTGAAGCAGTTTATAAAGTGAAGAAAAAAGCAGCGGTACATTCTCAAATGGCGAAGATTACTCAATATCTCTGGATCTAATATACCTTAAAATAAGGGTAGCTTACAACTCAGCATTGAAGTAAAAAATATAACTCAGTACTCACTGCAGTGACTGACAGAGAGCGCATTTTCTCGTCGATGAAACGTGAAGTCACGGTCAAACATGACGAGCAAAATAGCGCCTTTTTTCCATAAATGAGAAAATGTGCTAAAAAAGATCAAATCAAAAAATCAAAATCAATTAATAAAAAGGAAGTCTAAAAGAAGAAAAACAGATTAACAACTACCTAAATCAAGACTTGATAAATACTATAGAAGCAGAAAACTTTCAAGGACTAGAAGCTCTCTAAATATCTTCATGGAATGGGACAACAATGACTAAGCTTTCATTGAGAGAGTTCCAAACTGAGATCACAGTGATATGAGGTGGTGTCAAGTTGACAGATTTTCATAAGGAAATCATGACTACATTCCTACAAGAATGTCTTGGATAAAATTTGTTTTCAGTGAAAAAAATTTATGTCATGTAAATAAACTAGGCATGAAAATAACTACACAATTTTGAACTAAAAGTGAAAATTGAGGACATAGTAGATTTAGAAGTAGGTACAAATGTATCACTGGAAAAAAATTCATTTTTATTATCTTTGACTGAGAACATTCAAATTACCACACCTAAAATTACAGCTAATAATAAAAAATGATATGTAAAGAGAGTAGAAATTAAAAATATTGCACAGGCAGACCATGGTGCACTTTTAGTTGTCATTAGAATATTAAAACCAGAAACTTAATCATCAAAAGAAGGAATGTTCTCAAAGGAAAATCCTTCATAGCCTTTGAATGCATAATAGCAAATATATGAATGGTAAGACCCTGGTATGAACATGAGTGCACCAAGTATCAGAAGAGGCCAGGTTCTGTCACTGTACTGCTCATGTATGTGACCAGTCACAAGAAGGCTTCCAACCACCAGCAGCACTGTGCCTATCACCAGAAGAACAATGGCAAACCAGACACTTTTCCATGGGATGCGGGTCTCTGGAGCCTGAAAAATCACAATGAACTTTAGAGGGAGAAGACATTGACAAGTTAATCAACTACATATTTTTAAAGATGAAGGCAAAACAATGTCACCCTTATTAAACAAGGATATGAGAGTTATCATTTTATCTGACCTTGAACTGGGCATCTATAAATCCAGAGTCATCTTGGCTGAGACGTTGGTAGCCAGTTCGTGAAGATGCACCATCTCTTCGCTGAGCCATTATAGCATCAAATAAGTTTAATCAAGTACTTAAAAACTCTGAAAATGAGAAAACAAGACAGAAAATAATTCATAGAATCACATAATTTTGATGCCTGGTTAACATTTAAACAAAACTGAATAAGCAGCAAAGCTGATTAAAGTGCTTATTTATTTTTGAGCATCATGGACATGAGCAGCATCAGTTCTTTACAATTTACAAACAGATTCTCTATCTCTGAATAAGCTAGAACAAAAAAACACTAAAGAGTTATGATAATAACTTGAATGATTAATCATTAAAGTTTACACTCCAAAGTGTAATGACATGCCTGACTGACTCAGGCTCATTGCTGGTTTCATGAACTTGATGAAGCATGGGATTTTTTATTCATTTATAGATGGCTTCTGTTCAATATTCGTGTTTAGTACGTACATATGTTTTTTTATACGAATTGATAATGAATATGTTATCACATGCTTATTTGATTCAATCCAAATGTGGAAAAAAAATTATTTATTTGCTTTTGCCTTTGGCATTTTTGTCTCGCTCACACTTTACAAGTACCTAGCTACAAGCAAGCTGAAGCAGCTTTTGCCCAACTAATTTTATACTCTGGAGTCACAACAGTGAACAGACCAAAATTATTGCTGACTGCCATGAACCAACTCAGCTGCCAAGTGCCAAGCAGCCAAGTCAGTTGCAAAATATAGTATAGAAGAACCAGGAATCCAGAATGCCAGTCTAGAAATGATAGAGGTAGATATATTCAAGATTGATCCAGTTTGGTAACTAGGTAGGCCCTAATCAGTTACACTTACAAAATATCAGCTAATTATGAAAGAAAAATCCACTAATCCAGTATCAAGAGTTTTTTCAGATCCAATATGATGTGCACTTTTTATAGTAGTAATAGTACTCCCTACTCCTTAAAAAGTTGTTAATTCCACAATGATCCATAGTGACAAAGCAGAGTTTTTTAGACTCTTCACTCTCCCTCAAGTTCATTTTTGAGTCCTATAAGTAGACCAGTAAAGTATCCTGGATACCAGCATTATCATACTTAAGAAATTGGTTTAAATGAGAGTTTTTTAGACTCTCCCTCAAGTTCATTTTTGAGTCCTATAAGTAGACCAGTAAAGTATCCTGGATACCAGCATTATCATACTTAAGAAATTGGTTTAAATCTTGTGTAAATGAGGAAATTAAAAATGAACTGCTTCTAAAAAAGCTCTGGTTTGTCACTATGCCACAATCCACATCCACCCACACCCAGTGCACCCACGGCCCACCCAGGGCCTGAGGGCCAGACTGAGGCTGGGGCGCTGGGCCAGAGGCTGGAGCTGGAGTTTTGCATATAAATTTTTCTTGGTAAATTCAAACAGCTAGATTATAGTAGAATAGGGTAAATGTGGTATATTCCGACACATTAAGGACGCATCAAGAAACGAAAAACTATAAAAAAACGTATGCGTTACGTAAGTTCTGTTGCCTTCACGTGACTCTCAAAACACTTCACTACGCGTCACTTGGCGTCAGCAACAATGAAATGTCACAAAATGTTGCCATATTTATTAAAAAGCCTTTAGAATGGAAACCTACCAAATCCCTATATTCCGTCACTGTGTGTGGCAATATTGAGTGTGTGGCAACCTGTGTGTGGTGAGTCGTATTGCGTCAGCGCTTCAAATTTTACTGATACGTAATGCCGACATCCACGTGTACGAATTCCGTTCGCTGTGTGAGCTGTATTGGGATACAACATGGCTTTGAATTAGAACACTAATGAATATTGGACACTACTTAATTACGTTTTAATTAACAGCTATTAGGCTTTTAATTAAGCAAATTTCAATTTTTGTACAAGCTTTGAACGATCTGTGTGTGTCCAATTCAAGTTGTGTCGGAATTAGTTTTCATGTGTCTAAATCCATTTCTCAACTTCATCATCCATTAATTTATTTATGACTTGAAATCAGCGAATACAAGTATACTTAAAGGATTCCTACCATGGTCAGGAAGATGTGCCAGGTGCGCGGGAATTTATTTTGTCATTTTAACGACCTGCGCGGTGCGCCGTACTACGTTGGTAAAAAAATACGCCGTGCACCGTACTTTAGAAAGCTAAAATAGTTCTTCTATTTAGTCGACAATATACACAAGTATATTGACTACGCGAGTCGAACTGACAATAATAAATGTAAGACATGTCCGGATTACTTCTGACTCTTCTGGTTGTCCGCCTTGTCGGATACGGAACGTACGGTAATCATAAACTGCGGCTGTTATACATACGAAATGTAAACAGACGGTGTTCAGTGTCAGTGTTGCCATATGACTATGGAGAAAATTTCTTCTAAAATAAAGATGGCCGGGATTGCGCGAACACGTGCATGAAGATAATCAATTTTCATTACATTGCGCCAACTGCACAGCAATAGCTTAAAAAAAGTGAAAATGCGCGGGAAAATTCACCGAAAACATACATCATCCTGAGTGTGGGATTCCTAATACATTCACAATCACAGACGTATTTAAAAGTCTCAAACCATAATATTCTTCCTATAAAAACAGTTATTCACTATTTGGTAGAGCAAGGTCAAGTGTCAACTGTCAAATTTGACACATTTTTTGATGATCTCACCAGGTGGCATGCATTGTCTCTCTTTGGATCTCAATATTTTCCCACTAGATGGCCAAGACCTAGCGTTCTGGCAGTATTTTGACGCACAAATGTATGACGTCACGGTCATCACCATTTCAACCATCAACAAACGCATGGAACTAAAACAAAGCTTAATACTATAAAGCCACACTCAGGATGATGTATGTTTTCGGTGAATTTTCCCACGCATTTTCACTTTTTTTAAGCCATTGCTGTGCACAGTTGGTGCAATGTAATGAAAATTGATTCTCTTCGCGCACGTGTTCGCGCAATCTCGGCCATAGTGCCATGATGATAGTGGCAAAGCAGAGAGTTTTTTAGACTCTTCCTCAAGGTCATTTTTGAGTCCTATTGGTAGACCAGTATACTGTCCCCAGGACACAGCGGGACAGAGACGTCGGGTGCCGACGCGGTGAGACGAAGTCGGGGCAGTAAAGTATCCTGGATACCGTGGTACCAGCATTATCATACTTGAGAAATTGGTTTAAATCTTGAGTAAATGAGGAAATTAAAAATGAACTGATTCTAAAAAAGCTCTGGTTTGCCACCATGATCCCGGTCATCAATTCTACGTCGCGCTGCCGCGCAAGAGCAGTTTGTGGAGGAACAGACGTAATACTCAGTACAGTATGCCTTTAATTATCTTTCAATAATGTATGATTTTTCTTGATACGGAAATTTGGTGAATGAGAAATCTAGAACTTTATTTTAAAAGAAATTTTCTCCAAAGTCATATGGCAACACTGAACACTGTCTGTTTACATTTTGTATGTATAATGCATGTATGTTACGATTACCGTACATTCCGTATCCGACAAGCGGAAGAGTCAGAAGTAACCCGGACATGTCTTACATTTTATTATTGTCAATTCGACTCAAGTAGTTGATATAAACTTTGATCTTTGATGACCAATGAAATATAACTTTTTAATAGGGAGACTTCATGTTTATTATACTACAAGTAATGATCTTTATTTAATTAGAGCCGCGTTGCCGCGCACATAGTGGCAATGCAGAGAGTTTTTTAGACTCTCCCTCAAGTTCATTTTTGAGTCCTATAAGTAGACAAGTAAAGCATAGTGGCAAAGCAGAGAGTTTTTTAGACTCTCCCTCAAGTTCATTTTTGAGTCCTATAAGTAGACCAGTAAAGTATCCTGGATACCAGCATCATCATACATAAGAAATTGGTTTGCATCTTGGGTAAATGAGGAAATTAAAAATGAACTGATTCTAAAAACTCTCTGGTTTGTCACTATGGCCGCGCATCCATATTTAAACTATTTTAGCTTTCTAAAGTATGGCGCACGGCACATTTTTTTACCAGCATAGTACGGCGCATCGCGCAGGTCGTTAAAATGAGACAATAAATTCCCACGCACCTGGCACATCTTCCTGACCATGGCTATAAACCATGGTCAGGAAGGTGCAGCGTGTACGCCGGAGGTTCGTTTTCAGATGTACGCCAGTACGCCAGGGAAGAAAGTTGCCAATATGCTTGCTAAAAACGGAAGTGTAACCCTCGCCAATGCTGCATGATCGACACAGGCACACGTACTTTACGATTGATGCCTGGCAATTGTCACAAACACACGTGCTTTACATTTACGATCTATATAGCTGATGCCCAATGATCAACACTGATGCGCGCTCCTTGCAATCAAAGTGGAAGATGCCTAATGATCGACACAAGCGCGCGCGATTTACGATCGGTTTAGCCGATGCCCAATGATCAACACAGAAGCGCGCTCTTTGCGATCAAAGTGGAAGATGCCTAATGATCGACACAAGCGCGCGTGATTTACGATCGGTTTAGCCGATGCCAAATGATCAACACAGAAGCGTGCTCTCTGCAATCAAAGTGGCCGATGCCTAATGATCGACACAAGCGCGCGCGATTTACGATCGTTTTAGCCGATGCCTAATGATCGACACAAGCGCGCGCGATTTACGATCGTT